ATAAATAACACCCATGTTACCCAAGTTCAGGACCAGTAAGGGATGAAAGCAGTCACCACACACAGATGAAAACATCACCTTTACTACTGATGAAGATGTCTGACAATGACAGACGTGGAAGTCCGAACACCAAACCCCAGAAGGAAACCTCCTCCTTGGTGACTGAGCCCCAAGGAGGCCGCAATCACAGAGCAGAGCAGACTGCAGGCACACCGATCCCACGGGAACACCAGGGGCAAGACGTGGCTTAACGAATCTCACACCAACCCATCTACCTCCCAAAAGCACCGGGACCGTAAGTGCTGGAGAGATGAGAAGTCTGCAATGGAAGAAACTCCGAGGAGAATACGTGTCCTCCTCCCCTGTCCAGTTCTTCCTGAACTGTTACTAGTCACCAGTGGTTCTTACATAGGACGGTGGAGCTCCGAGGGTCCTGGACACTCTGGGGGTCCTAACCACTCACATGGGTTGTCTGCCACTCTCACAGGTGTGCAAACACAGGAGCGCAGTCACTGTGGACAACACGGCCTGCGTCCGTGTGCTGGGCTCACGGGGCCAGCAGCCACAGCCGCCCTGCCCTCCAGCACGTTGGAGTGGAGATGCGGTCACTTAAACCTGGCCCCCGAGCAGCCGTCGCTTTCATCCTATGGGACGAGATGGGAAGCACATCCAGGTACTTCTGCTACAGACCCAACTGCATTGCTGACGAGCTGCCTTTTTCCCAACAAAGCATATTTACTTTGGGGAAAAAAAGAAAAAAAAACACTGGCAGCTATAAGTGGCATTTTCTCCGAGTGAGATGAAAACGAACAGTGTTCGTAGTTGATGGTAAAAATCAAATTTCTAAGCAAAAATTAAAATCCTATAGAAGCTGTATTCTGTGAGCTTGAGAACGTCCCAATCCTTAAATTTGCCCTGATGATACTAATGTGGACATTCATAGATGTGACTTTTTTAAGATTTTATTTTATTTATTCATGAGAGGCAGAGAGAGGTGCAAAGACACAGACAGAGGGAGAAGCAGGCCCCGTGCAGGGAGCCTGACGTGAGACTCGATCCTGGGTCTCCAGGATCACACCCCGGGCTGAAGGCGGCGCTAAATTGCTGGGCCACCGGGGCTGCCCTAGCTGTGACTTTTTGACAATGAGTCATGAAATGTGCCAACATGAGACATCTGCACAACTCAGTAAACGAGTGTTTTACAAATGACTAATGCTTAAGGGGTCGTGCCCATACGTGGGTTAAAGATCCATTCAAAGTGCAAGGTTCAGGGATCTCTGGGTGGCTCAGCGGTTTGGTACCTGCCTTTGGCCCAGGGCGCGATCCTGGAGTCCCGGGATTGGGTCCCACATCGGGCTCCCAGCATGGAGCCTGCTTTTCCCTCCTCCTGTGTCTCTGCCTCTCTCTCTCTATCATAAATCAATAATCAATCAATCTTAAAAAAAAAAAAAACCACAAAGTGCAAGGTTCACCACTTAGAATGTGGATGTTTTCAATGATTATATAAATGTACAGTATCAGTACAGTAGTGGAAATGTATTTTCCTTATGGTTTTTAAATAACACTTTCTTTGCCCTCATATGCCTTAAGAATTTAACACATAATACACATAACATACAAAATATGTACTGTTTATGAGTAAGGCTCCAGTCGATAGTGGACCATTAGTAAAGTTTTGGGGGAGTCAATAATTATACAGATTTTTGCCTGTGTTGGGGGACTGGTGCCCCTAACCCTTATGTCATTGAAAGGGTCAACTATGAAAGAGAAAATAAAAAGATCACTGAACAGTTAAAGGATCCCAGGGGCTAGTGGGGAGGAAGGGATGAAGGGGAGGGACAGAATTTTAAGGCAGTGAAACTCTTCTGTGTATTACACTCTCACAACCCTGAGACCGTAAGCTGAGCTGAAAATCAAGAGTTGGATGCTTAACTGAGCCACCCAGGCACCCCAGGAACTCTGTACTTTCCATTTCGCTGAGAACCTAAAATAGCTCTTTAAAAATGTATAAATTTTTAGAATTTAAACTTAAAATTTTAAGACCACTGGCATGATTTTAGATTCCACATTCCAACTACCTTTCAGAAACTACCATTTGTCAAGTTTCCATGTAATGCCAAAAAGAATATCCACAATTACCTGAAAAATTCTCCTTCCTTTTCTAAATACATACTCCAGAGGCTGAATTTTCTTCATGTACTGTAACCAAAGCCAACATATTAAAAAAGATTAGCTGCAGTAGCTGATCTAAGAATCCAGCTGTTTTCTATTAAGCCAGACATCAAAGAGCTTTGCTAAAATGTAAATCGATGCCATTCTTCTAAAGCATTGACTTGTTCCATGAGAAGTGCTATATTAACATGCACTGCGCAGGGACGCCTGGGTGGCTCAGCGGTTGAGTGCCTTTGGTTCAGGGTGTGATCCAGGGGGGCCCTGGGATCGAGTCCCACATCGGGCTTCCTACATGGAGCCTGCTTCTCCCTCTGCCTGTCTCTGATGAATAAATAAAATCTTTTTTAAAAATTGAAAAATAAAAAAACATGCACTGTGCACTGCTTTAACGGAATATTTCATTTTTAACTGAATTAATATTTTAAAAATTTGCTGTAATCTCTAACATGGTTAAGTATCAGCAGATGCAACCCACATGAACAGAAGCTCTTGAGGTCCTCAATATTTAGGACTGTAAATGTTGAAGAGCTGCTACTATGCATTAGCTTTATTTCATGGAGAATAAGGGTACTGTCTGACATATTACACTTCTAGAAAAAACTTTAGATCTGTCTTCAAGGCTACCAGCAGCTAGCTGTCCTTGACTTCTGGGATGGTGGTTGACAAGGGAAGGGCCTGAGCTGCTGACACAGGAAGGCTCTGTTCAGCCCTGGACGTGGTCTCCACGGAGAACGTGGGAAACTGCCAGGGCAGACACAAGAGCCTCACAATCCCATTTATATTAAGATCAAGAAATAGAGCCATATATTATTTTCAAACATACATTAAAACCCCAAAAGTGTAGTTTAGCAAGAGATTAAAATTTTCAAAAGGTAAGTATTCTGGACTCCCCTACATCTGAACCAAACGGCTAACCAGGGAATCACCCCCTCCCTAGGGTCTGAAGTCTGCCCCTAACTCCCAACTCCCCCATAACTTTACTAATAGCCAACTGCCAACCAGAAATCTCACTGATATCACTTAACACATCATTTTACATATCTACTACTATACCCCGTATCACTAAAATACCTTTTTCTTAATTTATTTTTTGGTATTTCTAGACTACACAGTTTGTTTTTTCAAATTGTCACAAAACTCAAATTTCCCCATATATTTAGTTTAAAAATCCAAGTATAGTGACCCCACACTGTTCAACTCCATGTTGTCTGAGGTCCAACCATATTACTCCTAGACCGCCACCTAGATCTCCAGCAACCTACATCCCCGTCACTCAGCCTAAATCTGCATATTTACAAAACACGAGTGACACCAATCCTAGGGTCTTAAGGATTAAACAACACAATAAATACACCTAACAGTGCATCTGACATTCGCCCGTTGGTTCAACACCACAAATACCTCTTGCAACTGATTCTCATTATTAGAGCAAAAAGAACAAGAGACTGAAACCCTAATCTCTGATCTAGGCAGGCAGGACTCAGCAAGGGGATAAAATGTTAATTACATTGCCATACTTAAGATTCCATGCAATATTTTCACAGAATGTAAAAAACACAGAAATTCTTACACATTATGAAAACTGACTAGGCTGAACAAAGCCTAATAAGGTTAACTTTCAAATAAGCAAAATTAAGATAATTATTGTTCTTAAGCTGGATGACAGCCCATGCGATTTTTAGAAATATTAATACAGCTTACTGGAACAGCGTGTCCAACCAGCTAAGGAGTTGGGTAGATCCAAGTTCTCATGTTACTTCGTCATCGTTGAAAGGATCAGGGTAATGTGCTTCAAGCAGCTAGCACCTGGGGGCTGTTGGGGCTGCCATAACAAAGCACAGGCTGACTTAAGCAGCAATTTATTTTCTATTTCTGGTGGCTGGAAGTTAAGCGCTGAGATGAAGATGCTGGGGCATACGGTTTCTTCTGAGGCTTCTCACTGCAGCCTGATGCCCATCTCCCTCTGGCATCTTCACAGGTCCTCCCTCTGGGTGTGTCTATGAGCTCATCTCTCCTTAGAGAGACACCAGTCCTCTTACATTTGGACTTAGAGAACCTCCTTTTGCTTTAATTGCCTCTTCAAAGGCCCTATCTAGAAATACAGTCACACTCTGAGGTACTCAGGAGATCAGGACCTCAACACACAGATCTGGGGGCACAGTGTGGCTCATAACCACAGTGGATCCTCAATATATAGTAGCTATCAATCAAAAAGAAAACAGTTCCTAAGATGATTTAACACCCTCTCTGAATTCCGTCTCTAACGGCAGGGAAATACCTTCCACCAACACAAGGTCGTGCTGGAAACAGCCTGGACAATGCAGAAATCTCCACTCTTCCCGATGTCTTCTCTATATAATGGGACCTAAAGGAGTTTCAGGATATGAAGACACATGGAGTTTGTACTATTTGCTCTTTCTACTGGGCCTCAGAAGTCTGCCATGGACCCAGATGTGGTAAAGGCAGGGATGCTCGGGCCCAAGGAGACACTGACCAGTTAGCCGTATCCCACCTTCTCTTCCCACCAACATCAATGCATAAACACCACTGCACTCTTTTTTTTAAATCCCAATGCAGATTTACCTAATTTTTAAAATGGATTTTAATTACAACGCACAAAGCAACTAGACAGGTATCGTGTCATCTAAAACAATTTCATAAATCACATTATTCAAGAACACTTCTCAGTAATTTGTTTCATGAATTCCATTTTTTATTTAGCAGCTAACATCTGAGAGCTTATAATGGACAGATACTGCACTTAAGACCATGAACTCATTTAAGGCATGGAGGAAATACTTTGAGTCAGGAAAAAAAAAGTTTGATGGTACAGTCTCTTTAAAGAACTTTATTGAGATGTTTCTCACAAATTAGAGAAAAGCTTATTTACCAGTAAGAAAAAACTCTTTACTTTAAAACACAAGTGGAAATATCCCAGAGAATTTGGCACTGTGACCCAGAGTTCCTGGTGTCCAGCTTTTGTCAACTGCACTCTCAAGTCATACTCCAAGCTTCCAGAAACACCACCAAGCCCAGGCACTTGGGACGTGACACTGCAGGGAGCTGGGGCTCCCCCTGTATTGGCACTCGCACACTAACACAGCTTGACAAACCCAAGTCAGTCTTCTCTTTCATAGAAACAAGGGTTAAATAGGACATAGGATACTATGGTTTAGAAACAAGATCACTCATAGCAAAGCAGAATACAACACAATTGTCACAATTAAAGAACCAATTACTTTTTATACTTCAGATGGCTTCAAAGGTTCAACAATATCCTAAAGACTTTTATACAGAAGCTAACATATAGCTGACTTTTATGAGAGAAAGGTACGAACAGTACCCTTAATTATACCCCTGCAGATAGGACACTTTCTTAGAGAAGGGGCGCATTCCTGGCACACCACCAGGTGACCACAAGGAATGAACACGATGGACACTTCTTTGTCCATGCACACTTTACACGTTCTCTCTTCTTGCAACCTCCTCAACTGCTCCTCCAGCGACAGACCTATAGGGAGAACAAACTTCAGTGAAATTGTTTCTATTTTAACTCCCATTAAAAAAAAAGGGTAATATTTCCTGTTGTTCTTAAATCTTAGTTTTGTTTTACCTGAAACATCTTCTGTTGGGATATACTTCATGTTCTTGTCCACTGAGGAAAGAAAAATACACAAAAAGTATTTTCTACCATATTCTACCAAATATAAGACTGCTTCACCTTCTATTCATTTTCTTTTCACCTGCTATCTGCTGAACACCACAGATGCTACCTACAGATCAGGAATTACACGGTCATACTAACGGGGCAATAAGACGACTTCCCTTTTTTAGGACTAGTTAAATGTACGGACGGACTATTGTTTGCTAACCAGATTTACCTTGTTTGTCAAACATCAACATGAACATAATCTCAAAGATTTCTGAAATAATTTTACCAAAAACTCACCAAATAAGTTCTTATATAATGTAGAGTCGATTTCTTTTAAACAACTTTTGAAGATGTTGGCAGCAGAGTTTCCTTTAACTAAGACAGTATCAATCAGTTCTCTCGCTTGCAAAGGTATCTGTGTTTTTTGTTTAATGATATCATGTTCCTGTTTATTAATTACATTGGCCTTTAAAAGATTATCCAGGATTGGAAGCACACAAGTCAACTGTTGAAAAAGAGCCATTCTATTCCTCCGAATTAATGACAAATCATCTTCATTTAAAAGAAAGAAGAAAAAAAAATCCATTAGATCTTAAAGTGCTCCAACGATACTCACATAGTCACTAACAACCAAACCTACCAACAATTTAGACACTAAATAAATAGGTGCTTGAAAAAGCACAAAATTACTTGTTTGCACTTAAATTTAATGCCTATCATTTAGAAAACTTCTGGAAGATTCAGCTAAAGCATATCATATAGTACACACAACACACAGGGCCTCTGTTTTTGTCACTTCTAAAAGTGGAGATATTTACATGTCTTAGAACCCTGCTATTCCATAGAAAGAAAGCAGAGAATTTTAAAGACCAGTAAAAAATAAATAAATAAATACATACATACATACCAGTAAAAACCTTCCACCTCTGTACTTTCTCCCCTATGAAATTAATAATACTGACTTCTATTTGCATCATACCACTTTAGTTTTATAAGGGCTTTCGTGTAAACTCCCTTATTTGATACAAAAGATCCTGTCAATTAAACAAGGCAGGTAAGACTACTTCTCATTCTCAAATATGGAGGAAAAGAAACTCAGAAGATGAGTGACCTCCCCAAAGTCAGAGAAAGAATCCGTTGCAGAACCAGTGCCCTGGATGAGTGTCCTTTTCACCCTGGACTTCACCACTGCAAGAGGAGGGGAGGACAGTAGTGGTACTCATCCCGCCAGGACAGGCCTAGGATCCCATGCCAGCCAGGCTGCTTCCTGGCCCTGTGCCCTCAGCCCTGTCACTTCCTACATCAATTTACTTAACAAAAAAATGTTTTCAGGTCTTGCACTATGCTAAAATGTTTTGTTTGCAACTTATTTAATTCTCACAGTAACCTTGTGCAATTTGTACTATGATCTCCACTTCATAGAACCGCAACCTTCATAGAACCTGTTTTCTTCTGACAGAGCCAGGATTTAAACACGAATCTGTTTCAATATCAAAATCAGACTTTGCATTTTTCTACACGACCACACAATGAGGTTCTCTTAAACCATTTCTATCATTACTTACCAGGTTCAACACAAAATGTCTTCCAGCCTGAACTCCCAATCCACACTGTCTATGCACCCCTCACCTCTGCTGGTTCTTTTGTGTACTAGACTCCACACCTCATCCACAATCCCCACAGGTAAGCACCATAGTTACCACTACAGCACAGTATCTGACAGGTGTTCATGCTCCATTTGTATTTGCTGAAGGAATGATTTCTCAAGAGACTTGTTTAGGAAGTCTAAAGCTTAGCACAACCTGCATGAACACCACAATCAGCTCCCTGATTGGCTCCCCACTGTCTCTGGGCTGGGCAGGGGCTTCTCAAGCCCTAGGACTTTACCACCGGTTCCATTTTTGTATAAGGACCACTTAGCAAGGATCAGGGAGTCAAACACCATGGTAAGGATAAGATTTCAAGGAAATTTTTTTAAAACACTGAAAGAAGACCTCCATTCAACTTTAAAGTCTTCCTTTCTTCTCATATATAACAATTTAAATTTGTTACATAGGAGAAGAAAAGCAATATACTTCAAGAAGTTAGGTTAAAATCCGGACTGGCATGAATCACAGATCTTGTTGGAAAATAAACATATTCTAGAAAGCTACAGTCCAGTCTGAGCACTGCCCACAGTGCAGAAGGGGATGTGTGTCGGAGGCTCCTGGCACTGCTGCCAGGAGTTAGTGGACAGACGCTGGTGCTCCTGCAACAGGTCACCCAGTCCGTGACCCTCACGGAAATAGGGCGGGTAATTAACATTCCCAAGTACCTGATGCCATTTCTTCAGTTTGCCTTTCCTTCTCTTCCTCCCGGGTCTCATCTTCAGCATTAAGAAGTGCTAACACGATCTCATTAACTGTTCTGTAGTTCTCCCCAGTGCTCAGGATCTTACTCTGCACGGTCTGCCTCACCAGGATCCTACTGAAGCCCATCTCCAAGGCGGCCTTCACCACTGGGGTGTTCATCATGACTGTGTCTTCTGAATGGTTTTCTCCAGGTCCAAAATGGACAACTATTTGAAAAGACATGTACCAATGTTAAATCCCACAAATGTAAAACTACAGAGAAAAATGATGACTATGGCACAATCTTTCCTCTCCTGGTGCTCATATACTGGTATAGCACATAAGCTTTATGCACCAATTACCGATAATTCCAACAAAAGTATGAGTGCAAGAGGATAAAATAAGAATGTAAGAATATGCTATCCTTTTTTAAAATTCCACTTCCCACACTACACCCTGGAACCTACTTAATGAGCGACTCAAAGCACAGGGCTTAGGAATCCATGTTTTTTTAAAATTTCTGAAATGATTCCAACATATGGTCATTTTCAGGAACCAATATGCTACACAACTATAGGAATGCTACAAGAAAGCAGGGAAACCAACAAAGACTTCATTAAAGGTGGCGTCAGAGTCTGGACTTGCCAGGATACATGAGATCAAGAGAGGTGGACAGATGAATCCGAGAGTAACATAGATGGAAGGAGAGTTAAGACTAGTTCATGCAAAATATGTCTAACGACATAAAAATATGACTGAAGAAGTCATTTGATTTCAGACCATGATATAAAGAAAATCAAGCTGTGAAAAGTGATTAAAATAACCCAGGAGGGAAGAAAACAACTGACATGGTGGAGCAGGGAAGCACTTCCTAGAAACAGGGTCAGCACTGACCAATTTGACACTTTGGTGGAAATGACAAGAAAACATCATTCTACATGATGCATGACAGCCACCTGCTGGCAAAGTGTTCTAATAATCATGTCTCTCCAAAGCCGCCTGCAGGTGGTCACACACACACACACACACACACACACACACACACACAGCCAGTCTGAAGCGGCAACATCAGAACAAGCATGTGAATGAATAAAGAGGAATTATGGGAGTATCTCAAAGAAATCCTGACACATTCAAGAACTAGAGACACAATGGTGAAAGGCACTCAGAGATGAGGATGATCCCCAGATCGCATAGTAAAGCCTCGCCAGCTTATCTTTTACTCTACAGGTACTAGAATGTTTTCTATACATCTTAAGTGAAGGATGTTAAGACCTGGTTTGTTTTCTCAGATGATGATTCTGGCAGCTCTGTGATAAACTTTAATGAGCTAAGATGGAATGAGGAGACCCGCCAGGAAAGCACGACAGACAGTGATGGCAGTTTGCACTGGGCTGATAGTGCCAGATGGACATGGAGAGAGGCACGCAGATTCAGGCATGTTAGGAAGGCAGGGATGAAAGGACAGCCAACAGACGGAACACACAAAGAGGAGCTCGGGTGACACCCAACTTGAGTCAACTTTCTGACCTCAGTAGGTGGGTACCGCAAACTGAAATGGGCAGACAAGAAACACGTCTGAGGGAGCAAAGACAGGAGAAGAGGTCTGCTTTGTTCATATTAACTCTGAAACACCCGTTATAGTCAAGTAAAGATTTAAACACAAAGTTGGACATGCCAGCCTGGAGCTTAGGAAATGAAGAAATAAATCTGGGCTAAGTGTTGAGAAGTACTCCATCATTTATGGTTTGAAAAAGGAGCCACCAAAGGAGATTATTCATGATTAACCAGAGAAATAGAGAAAAACCAAGAATATTGTGTCCGGGAAGCCAAGCAAAGAAGGGGTCTTAAAATGGATGCAGGAGAATAATGTTGGCAAGACTACCAAATGAGACGTCTCCCACTACATTCTAATGCAACAGCAATTTGGAATCCACCTACAAACAACAGTGCTTTTGTGAAAGCTTTGAGATATAGGTAGAAGATTATGAAACCCCAATGGAACCCAATACCAAGGAGAACTGTTTCAACAAGACAGGCCTGCACTCAAAGGGCTGACTCACCAACCCTGGGCCTGGCCACAGACCCATGAAGAGCCCCATATCCTCAGGACTTGGCCACAAGCCCTTTTGGCTTGATCCTGTCACCAGCACCCTACACAAAAGAATGAGGGGGACCCACGCCTACCTGTGCTCTGGCACACAGACGTACCTGTGAGCTGGATCCAGCCACAGTCCAGGAACCACTCGAGGTAAATCCCCCAAATTCAGTCAGAATGTAGAATCTTGAAAGGACCAACCTATCTCCACCGCAATCTGCAAACAGTCCCGCTAGCACAGGGATCCAGGAAGTAACACTCCCCAGGGCACACCTGGAGCTCCTCAAAGGGCCCTCTTAGCCCTGGGTCCCTCAGCCGCAACACAACCGGCAAAGAGACCCAGGGAGGGACACTCATGTCCACACCTACAGCTCCAGCCTCTCCAAACTCAATCAGGAAGCAGTCCTGCCCATCAAGGAACCTAGCAGAGGACATGTCCACCTGTGCCTCCACAGCCAGTTGTGCAGACCTCAATCTGGGCTGGAGAACCTCCAACGGCCCTCAGTTCCAGATGCCCTTAGCCACGCTCCACGGCCCGTCCTGCTAACCAAGGGACCCATCAGACTCATCTTTTCCCTCAAACTTTTTTTTTTTTTTTAATGATAGAGAGAGAGAGAGAGAGAGAGAGGCAGAGACACAGGCAGAGGGAGAAGCAGGCTCCATGCACCGGGAGCCCGACTTGGGATTCGATCCCGGGTCTCCAGGATCACGCCCTGGGCCAAAGGCAGGCGCTAAACCACTGTGCCACCCAGGGATCCCTTTTCCCTCAAACTTAACTAAATAGCCATCACATCAGCCTAAATACCCCAGAAATCAACCTGAAGACTGACAGAACAAACTCCACCACTAAAGGGAGAGAAGCAACTACACTGAAGAAGGTAGGAAGTGTGAAGATGTGGGTTGGGGGAGAAACGGGCTGTGGGGAGGGGGATAGGGAGCCCTGGTTGCAAAGAAGGGGGAGAGAGAGGAGCACGGGAACCCACGAGGAGAATGCTTCCCCAAAGTCACTGTCTGGGAAAATGAGAGCGGCTGAATTTCTGGAGTTCTTGCAACCAGCTGGGAGTAACACCAGGAGTTTTAAAGGTCAGCAGGCTTGGATGGGGTACAGCCTGGGGGGCACTGCCCTACCACTAGAGTGGAGGCAGGCAGCACACAAACAGTGACCTGAAAACCCTGAAAAACGCCTGGAGCAGAAAGGGGGGAGATTATTGCTCTACTTGGAGAGGCCATTCTCACACGATGCCTCTCCAGGTACAAAGGAGCCGATGCCTCTCCAGGTACAAAGAAGCCGGCTGGCCCCATTTCCCTCTCCCCGCCCCTCAGTATCATCAAGGAGCCACCTGTGGTAAACAGCGCAGCACCCACACTGGCTGCCTAATCTGCTCTCACCAGGTCCCACACCCCTGCTCTCTGCCGGTAAGGCCTTTCTCAGTCAGGCTTGCCCCAGTCCCAGAGCAGCAGGCCCTTTACCCCGATGACAAACAGAAACCCTTGCCCACACCACACCTCTCGACAGGGGAGTTCTGCAGGCTCTCAGTTCCGGTGGAGTTAGGGTCAGTTCTCATTTTACAAGCAGAGCAGGGCACACCTCGTTACAAGTCACCACATTCAGGCCAGGGACCAAACACTGCCCACAGCGGGCAATACAGGCCTTCCTCATGAAGCAAGAAAAATCTCAAATACACAACCTAACCTTATACCTACAGGAGCTGCAGAAAGAACAGCAAGAAGTCTAAAGAGGACATAATTTGGAAATGACTTATCTGATAAAGAGTTAATATCTAAAATATATAAAGAACTTCTAAAACTCAACTCTCAAAAAACCAATAACCCAATTAAGCAATGGGCAGAAGACATGAATAACATTTTCCCAAAGAAGACATCCAGATGGCCAAAAAACACATGAAAACATGTTCAATATCACTCACCATGAGGGAGATGCAAATCAAAACAATGAGATATCACCTCAGACCTGTAAGAATGGCTAAAATCAACCACCTGATAAACAAGTGTCAGTGAGGATGTGGAGAAAGGGTGAATGCTCTTACATTGCTGGTGGAAATGTAAACTAGTACAGCTATTGTGAAAAACAGAATGGAGATTCCTCAAAACATTAAAAGTAGGACTTCCCAGGGTACCTAGTCAGTTGAGCATCTGACTCTTAGTTTCAGCTCAGGTCACCATGCAGGAGTCACGATGCAGAGATCGTGAGATCTCCTGCACTCAGCAGGAGTGTGCTTGAGATTCTCTGCCTCTCCCTCTCTCTTCTGTAATTCCTCCCACTTGTGAGCACGCTCTCCCACTCTCTAAAACAAATTAAAAAATCTTTAAAAAAAAAATTTCCCTATGATCTAGCAATCCCACTTCTGTATATTTATCACATGGAAACGAAATCACTTTCTGAAAAATTTACCTGCACTCCCACATTCATTGCAGCATGATTCACAACAGCCAACACATGAGTACAACCTCTAAGTGTTCATCAGCACGTCTGAATAAAGAAAATGTGGTAATATATGCAGTAGAGTATTATTTACCCATAAAAAAGAAGGAAACCTTGCCATCTGCAATAATATGGATGGACTTTATCAGATGAGTAAGTTCTGAGAATCTAATATAAAGTGTACTGCCTACAGTTGACAATACTGTGTTACATACTTGGAAGCTACTAACAGAATAAATCTTAAATACTCTTACCACACAAAAAAAAACTACGTGAGGGGACTGATGCATTAATGTTACTGTGGTAATCATTTAGCAATGTATGTGTATCAGCCATGCCTCTTTTTACCTTAAACTTAGATAGTGTCATATGTGAATCCTATCCCGACAAAGCTGGGGGAGAAAGGGATGAAGCACTGACTCTTTCAAATGCTGGTAACAGGTCAAGTGGTAGATTTACAAAGACGGTGGTTCTTGGTGACCCTGACAAGAGTAGTCTGCAGTACAGTAAGTTCAAGAAGAATGGAAAAGAGCAGAGTAAGCACAGATAAATCTTTCTACACATTTTGTTGTGAAGGGCAGTGAAGCGAGACTACAGCTAGAAAATGATGTCAGCTAGATGTCATCTTAGGAAAAGTCTTCTTAGAACTGGTTATGATACATTAAGTTTATATATATCTTGAAGATAGAAAAATTGATGCTATGAGATAGAAGGGGGAGATCACTGGCAAAGCAAAGTTCTTAACAGTGGCAGTAGGTTTGAGATTTGGATGACAAAGGACAAGAAGAGTTGGCCTCAGTTCCTTCATAGAAAGAACATGAATGAGAGTGTTAAAGATACATCTCAGACTGGTGGCTTGGCTGGGAATGAATGGTAGTAGTTCTCTTCTGATCATGTTTATTTCCTTGGTGACACAAAATTATGAGCTGTGGGTAAATTAGGGAATAGAGTGTAGAAACTTACAGAAAGAGAATATTAAAGTCATTTTATTAGGGAGCTGCAAAGGGTAGCAGGGTGGTAAGAAAGCTATAGTTATAAATTTAAAGCAAGAGCAGTCAGCCCTGCTATCTTTCCCAGTTCCAATATACAGGAGGTGGTTAAGTACTGATTCCAAATCCTCAACAACCCTCTTGAGTCCTGGTATGTGCTAAGAAATAGTACATGGTTATCTTCATTATTTTGGACACCCTAACATATGTAAATTACATACATGAACTTAATGCCAGATATGACCAATACTAAGCTCTTATCAGATCTACTTCCTGTTCTTACAACTAAAATACTACACACTTGGGACGCCTGGGTGGCTCACTGGTTGAGCATCTGCCTTTGACTCAGGGCATGATCCTGGGGTCCTGGGATCAAGTCCCACATCAGGCTCCTTGCATAGAGCATGCTTTTCCCTCTGCCTGTGTCTCTGCCTCTCTGTGTCTCTCATGAATAAATAAGAAAATAAATAAATACATACATACATACATACATACCACACACCTAATAAATACCTAGTATCTAGACCAATTCTTAAATCATGTATCAACTGGCCCTTTCCAAACATACTAGCTTATAGCAAACTTTTCTTCCTTGGAGGGCTTATTATTTACACTTCTCATGTGGTATTCTTTGAGCTAATCTGTGATGGTTATTTCTCTTCTGCATATGTCCTGTGTCCCCAGTTGGAAGCAACTTTAAGAACAAAGATTAGTATACTTGCTAGAATACTCTAAAAATGTCATGAATCTTAGCAGATACATAATATTTATTAGTTAACTTCTCAGCACTTTTTTCTATGTCCTCAGGACTCAAAACATAGCTCTATTTATATACTTCTGTGTTTAACATTCTTATAAAAATTCCCATTCTGTATCTGTATGTATTTCCATACATACTTGGTGGATCAGCATTTTCATCTCCAGGAGTATCTGATGTTGACAAAAGCTATGGAACAGGAGAAAAATTAAGAGGTAAAAATCAAAAATCTCAAACAACCTTAAACAGAACAACAATAAGATAAGTTTACCTTAAGTAATGTACACACACTTCGGAAAACTAGGTAATTTATATACTTATTTTGCTCTGTTTTACTTTAATCATCATAAAAATCCCCTTAAACTTTACCTACTTCCAAATTATAGTTCAAGCATTTCTTAGTTTCAGGAAAGGAGGAAAAAATATTAATGGTTTCTCATTCCACTTAAAAGATATTTCAGCTAGATCACTCTCAGGTTCCCAATTCTTAACAAGTTGCTTTTTTTTTTTTTCCTGCAAAAGATGGAGGAGGCACTACCAGATCCTCCTCCAATCCCACCACAAATTTGTACAGTGGGAGATTGATTTTTCAGAAACGTAAAAGCAAATCTTTTTTTTTAAAGATTTATTTATTTTAGAAAGAGAGCGAACAAGCATGAGCAGGAGGAGGGGAAGAGGGAGACAGAGAATCCTAAACAGACTTCCTGCTGAGTGCAGGAACACTGGCTCAATCCCACAACTCTGAGATCATAATCTGAGCTAAAACCAAGAGTCAGATGCTCAACTAAGCCACCCAGGCACCCCCCAAAAATTTTTAAAAAGCCCCGAACAAGTAAAGTAGTAACAAAAATAAAAATTAAGGTGTCATTAATTGGGTATAATGCGATTAACCATAATCAATAACAAATGTAAATATTACTCTTAATAATATTCTTTGTCATTATTAAAGAGAATTCAGCATTGCCAAATATAAAAACTTACCTGCTCAAGAAGGTGAGGGTATCGAGCTTGAATCTCATCCACAAATTCCTGCCCTTTCATGCGTATCAAGAACTCACACCTACAAAAGACAAAAGTTGGGATCACTAGGTGGCTCAGCAGTTTAGCGCCTGCCTTTGGCTCAGGAAGTGATCCTGGAGTCCCAGGATCGAGTCCCATGTCAGGCTCCCTGCGTGGAGCGGGCTTCTCCCTCTGCCTGTGTCTCTGCCTCTCTCTCTCTCTCTGTCTCTCATGAATAAATAAACATCTTTTAAAAATAATTTTTTAAAAACTTGTTTAAAAAAAAAAGACAAAAGTTACTTTTAAAAAGTGTTCTATACCAAAAAATATGACCTAATCTTCTAGAAAAGTGGCTTTCAAACTCTCTGATTGCACCCCACAATATAAACATTTTACATCACAGCCTATCAAGCAGGAAAAAAGACTCCTTGTGAAACACTACTCTATTGTGACACATTGTGTTATTTTCTATTTATCACATAAACGCTTAACAATAAAAGGGTTTAGCCCTCAAAGGGGCACAAGCTAAGACTTGAAAAATGCTGTCCTGGGCAATTAACTTTTGGGATTTCACATGGTTTCAGAAGCTTAATATTCCTAAAACATGATCTTTCACAACAATTGCTAATCTTTCTCAGGGGTCCACTCTTCCATTATCTGTGAAGCACAAACCTTCTCTCCGAAACATATCTATATGCAATATGATGGTGTTTCCCAAAAACTGGTTCACAAACTCCTAGAGCTGCTCAAAAGCCTTCCAAGTAGCTCACCTACAGCTACTTCCATTTTACCCCATCAGTGTCTCTCAGTAAACAGTCCAGCACCCACCCAGAAAAACAATGAGCCTCCACCTATGTTACACTGCATGCAAAAATTCACTAGGAATAAATCAGAGACCGAGATATTAAATCTAACATGATGCAACTTCTAGAAGACAGTAGAAAATCTTTTTGTCCTTGGGCCAGTTAAGATTTCCTAGCTAAGAGACCATAAGCATAATCCATACAAGATAAAACTGATAAAATGACACCCTCAAAAGCTACTGCTAAAACCATGAAAAGACAAGCCACACATGGAAAATTGGCAAAACATACCTAATAAAAACTTTTACCCAAAATGCATTAAGAACTCTCAAAACTTAGTAATTAAAAAAAACTTTAAAATGGGCAGAAGATATGCAGAAGGCAAATTAGCTCACCATCATTAATCATTAAGGAAATGCTAATTAAAACCTCAGAGAAATATCATGATACACCAACCAGGATGGTGATACCAATTACAGTAACTACTGTGGAACACCTGGAGGTCTCACACACCTCTGGGAGGAATCCAAATCAGCGCAGCCACTTAAACAACACAGCAGCCCTGAGGAAAACTTGCCATACAACCCACAAATCCCAAGCCTAGAGATTCACCCAAGCAAAATGAAAACACATGCCCATGGATGTTTATTAATATTGACAGACGCTTTGCTGCTTATTACTCCAAACTGCAAACAACCCAAATGTCCTTCAACTGGTTACTGGGTAGAATTAGCAGAGATCATTTAAGCACACTCAAGACTTAAGTCTGTCACGGAGATAAGACCGATAGTTCCCACAATGTTCTCTATTATCCTATAGTTTTAAGTTATTTTAAGGACTGATTAATTTACATACATAATGATTAAAGCAGCAAGTATAATGAACCCCGGCTCACAGATCTGCCCCCTTTTCTAACAAGGTCACTAAGGACAGAGATCTTGGGATGCCTGGGTGGCTCAGTGATTGAGCATCTGCCTTTAGCTCAGGGCATGATCCTGGATTCTCAGGATTGAGTCCCGTATCAGGCTCCTTGCATGGAGCCTGCTTCTCCATCTGTGTCTCTGCCTCTCTTTCTGTGTCTCTCATGAATAAATAAATAAAATCTTTAAAGAAAAAAAAGAGATTTTGTTTTCATCACTGCTACAGCTGCAGTAGCGGAACTATCATCCACCAGGGACTCAAATATGTGACAAATGAACTGTTACAAAATAGTGATAACTGTGATCCATTTTTGTTTTCCATTTACTGAGATTTAAAGTTATCCATAATTGAAATTTGCTGTTTTCTAAAGTGTTTACACAAAGCACCCTAAGCCTTTTTCCCTTAACTATCTAAAACAGAACACAAATTACATAAATAAACCAAGATTTTGTTTTGTTTTATAAAGGGCAAAATGAAGTAAATCAAACACCAGAATTGGAAAGCTATTTTTGTCTTTATAATAGTTATTAAGTTTCAAATTATATGTATACAATCCCATAAAGCCAAGCATAATGGTCATTTAAAATTCTGATAATAAAACACTTTTCCTAAATAATTTAAACACAACTTCACTTTTGAGAATTAGAACGTCAGATTTTACCGTGTTATGTTATGAATATTAAAGATAAAATTTTAAAACACTTTTTAAGATTTTATTTATTTATTCATAAGAGACAGAGAAAGAGAGAGAGAGAGAGAGAGAGAGAGAGGCAGAGACACAGGTAGAGGGAGAAGCAGGATCCATGCAGGGAGCCTGATGTGGGTGGGACTCAATCCCAGGACCCCAGGACCACGCCCTGAGCCAAAGGCAGATACTCAACTGCTGGCCACCCAGGCATTCCAAAACACAACTTTTAACAATGTACTGACTCATAATAAAATAGTTCTTACTTCAAGTTCCTTTATCTTAAATCATAAAAAAAAAAAAAAAGACAAAAAGATGTTTTAATTTCCTGAAGGTGTTCAAGAGATTCCTCATTCTTATGAAAGGCACTCGGGTCAGGACATTGTCCTGCTCAACCGCACTCCTATGAGGCACCTGGTGAAATGCAGAAGAACCATGGCTGTGGGGGTGACGGGGAGCCGTGTGAGGAGTACAAGCTATGCTTGGGATGACAGGAAAGTCTGGTGGTGATGACTGAGGAACAATGTGAATGCAGAGAAGTACATACAGAAGGAGAAATTTAAAAATGGTTAAAACGGTAAATTTTGTTAGGTATTTTTTACCACAATTTTAAAAATTACCTAGTCTAACCCCCTCACTATACAAAGGAGGACAGAGTTTCAAATGGGTCACACGACATGTCCAAGTTCACAAAGCTTCTCAAAAATGAATTTCTAATTCTACTTCCACAAACAATACTGCCTCTCAATTCTTTGTGGGGTACAGTGGAAAACAGGACCTACTGCTAGAGACACAGTGACTAAGAAAAGATGAGTGACGGGATCCCTGGGTGGCGCAGGGGTTTGGCGCCTGCCTTTGGCCCAGGGTGCGATCCTGGAGACCTGGGATCAAGTCCCACATCGGGCTCCCGGTGCATGGAGCCTGCTTCTCCCTCTGCCTGTGTCTCTGCCTCTCTCTCTGTGTGTGTGTGTGTGACTATCATAAATAAATAAAAATTTATTTAAAAAAAAAAAGAAAAGATGAGTGACAATCACAAGATAAACTGTACAGAAAAAATAACTTATAATTATAATCAGACTTAATCAGCTTTCATTATATGCATTTTTGTATTTGCCTTTTCCTAGATCATTTTATGTCGCTTTTTCTCCTCTTCCCTTTTTTCCAATGTACTTTTTTTTTTTTTAAGATTTATTTATTTATTCATGCGAGACAGAGATTGAGAGAGAGAGGCAGAGACACAGGCAGAGGGAGAAGCAGGCCCAATGCAGGGAGCCTGACCTGGGACCCAATCCCGGTCTGCAAGATCACACCCTGGGCTGAAGGGGGCACTAAACCGCCGAGCTACCCAGGCTGCCCTCCAATGTATGTTCTTTCATGTTATTTTACACACCTTTGTAATCCTTACAATTTCTTTAAGGCAAAAGGGGAACCCTACAGATAAAACATATGGCCATAATTGTAAATGAATATCAATAAATTAAATTAGGGGCACCTGGGTGGCTCAGTCAGTTAAGTATCTGACTGTGATCAGGTCATGATCTCGGGGTCTTGAGATCCAGCTCCACATCGTTTGCTTGTCCCCGCCCCATCTAGTGCTCTCTCTCTCAAATAAATAAATCTTAAAAATAAATAAATTCAATTATATCCTGAATACACGGCTTACAAAAGAAAAGAGAATACTAAAACATTTTTATCAAAATAAAAATTCAGTGTATTTTTTTCAGTTTTTATCTTAAAGAATAACCTCTACACCCAATGTGGGGTTCAAACTCACAACCCCGAGAGCAAGAGTCACAATCTCCTCTGACTGAGCCAGCCAGATGCCCCAGATCTGGTGTTTTATTTTTTTTTTTTTAATTTTTTTTATTTATTTATTTATGATAGTCACAGAGAGAGAGAGAGAGAGAGAGGCGTAGAGACACAGGCAGAGGGAGAAGCAGGCTCCGTGCACCGGGAGCCCGACATGGGACTCGATCCCGGGTCTCCAGGATCGCGCCCTGGGCCAAAGGCAGGCGCCAAACCGCTGCGCCACCCAGGGATCCCAGATCTGGTGTTTTAAAAGACCAAGTCCCCACAGGCATAAAAGCATCTTTGCTACACAGAGATGTAAAAATGAACCCTGCAAGCACACCTACTTTTGGAAAGCAGTTTTGTGTGGAAATACCTTTCAAAACAATTACCTGGGAAACCACTTGGCGTGCTCCACCCATGGGTCATCTCCAGACTCCCAACACCGCAGTCCACCGTCACAGCAAAAGCATTTGACATCATCGTTGCGACCTAAAGAAAACAAGACTGAACTGAAACACATGTTCCAATATGTTCAACAAAGTGAACCTGATAAATCATACACTACACCTTAGTTTCTTACCCACGTAATAGAATCCAGCACTTGCGAGCTGCTCAGGCCGCACGGGCACACTAGATGGCCAGTACACGAAAGTTCTCAACCGGGCCGCATGGGTCTGCATGCTCAAATTTGAAATGCTAAATCTCAGGGTCTCCAGAGAATTTTCCAAAAACGGGCAGTTGGGGAAATGTCTCCGGTGTTCGGACATCGCGTCATCCTTTGGTTCCCAGTTACTCAGGGTCCCACCGCAGGCAAAGCAGGCCACCTTATCTCCAGGTCCTATATAGTAAAAGCCTGCCCTTGCCAAGTCTGACGGGGACAGAAAGGTTAGCGGCCACATGTGATAAGTAAGAAATCTGGCTTCCTCGGTGCTCATGGCGTAACTGTAGGGGTTAGTGCTCAGTGGGGAGAAGTCTTCACCTGCTCTGGAACTCACAGGGTTTGCTGCGAGGTTGGAATGAGAACCACTAAATGAGCCATGTTCCAAAGTGGGAGATATCGAATGTGTAAAGCTGTTTCTCATTGCAGAAATGTTCTTAGAGGTGGAATCCCGGCTGGTGAGAGAAACCAGACTGTGAATAAAACTACAGCTTGGATAGAGCTGTTTATGCTTTTCAACAGGATTGTCTCCAGGCTTCCAGTTGTCCAGCATCAGGCCACAGCAGAAGCATTTGACCTTGTCATTCACACCCGTGTAATAGAAGCCTGCGCGGGCCAGGCTCCTCTCTGAGACGGGAACACCCGCCGGGAATGTGGAGTATGTAGACATTCTATAGAGTTCACACGAAAAGTCATATTTTATTTTTTGTTTGTTGCCAATTGTCTGGTTTCGTAAGATGGTGCTATCCTCCATTGTCCTCTTAATCCTCTGATATGAACCTGGGACAAGTCTTTGGGAAGTAGTTTTGTGCATGAGTGATTTTACTTTTTGATGGCTAAAAACCTTCACATGAAACTTCTACCTTCACAAAAAATTAGTTTTTATCATATAAAAGAATCAAATGACAGGCTCCTACTTCTGTAAAACTCACTACACCTTCTTTATGGGATTTATGCCAGAGTTTACACTGAGGTGAGATAATACCTAGAATCCAGGATATTAAATTACCAGGATACTACTTAGCACTATTTCAGATTAACTCTTATGTAACAAGTGCTAACTGCTCATTATTTGGTGTAATATTAACATAAAGACCTGAAAAGATATTGGCACACTTATGGAAATATGTTAAAACTGCCTGATTCTTCAGAAGGTTGATGTTCCCAAAATTCTAAATAAGGTACCTAAATTATACCGTTAAAACCTGTTTATTAAGCCAATTACAATTATGCTTCAAGTGGGAAAAAGTATATGCAGGTCTCTTCCAAGCACCTCAATATATTTTTAAAACTCTTGGCTTTATTCCAGCAAACAAGAATTAAACTCTTCATATGGTCACAATATCTAAAGGCTAACTTCACATAGGTTATCACCACAGTATTTATGTGAGGGTATCAACACTCACCAGCTTTCTAGACCTAACCTTGCCTGTTTTAGCATGTATGATGTCATATGAATTTTGCTTAAAGCTAACTGCTAACTCTTCCACCTTTGTCTGTACTTGTTTCCATTTCCTGCAGCATCACGATTGGTTTCTTCCTCACTCTGCATATCAACTACACTTGGTCAACTGAAGGTATTTTCTCCATCAACTACTTAATCATAAAATTTCCACAAGAGAAACTTTAACACTGCATTTAGAAATCAAACAACCTATCTTTCACTTAAAAATCATGTCTCTATAACATCATTCATTTTGTAAAGATCAATCAACTTATCAAGACACAGCTTACTCTTTCTAGTGTTATCTAGTGTTATCACACATGTATGATAACATATTATAAACCTGTCTCTACACAATGTACCAGTAATTAATCCTACTAGCCTTCCTTATGAAAACCCTTGATACTTTATAATTCATACACAAAATCACACTCCATAAAATCCAAGCTATATCCCTCTATAAAGCTTCTGGTTCTCCATAACGGGGTTTATTTCTGCCGAGGAAAGAAATCAGAGGGAAAAAGTGGACTCTTCAAAGGGGACCCTCTGTTAATCTGGAAAGAGAAAAACAAAAGCTGTTTTAGAAAACTGTATTTTCACAGTAAAGAGAACTTACACTTCCAAGTGTTCACTACAGTCTAAAAAGGCTCTAGAGTTTAGGGAACACACCTCAAGTCCAGAAACTTGTCACCGAGATTGTCTAACTGGAAGTAAAACAAATGCAGAAACGGCCCTTGGCACCATAGTTTTTCAAGAGCGAACCACCTCCAAGACACAGGGATTTGTCAGCGCTTTGTTCCTGGTCCCCCCGCCCCGGGACAACGTCAACAGCCTGAGGGGAGTCCCTGGCGCTGTGGGGGTGAGGTGCGGGGAGAGCCCCCGGAGTGGGGAGGGGCGGGGGGGAGCCCCTGGAGCGGTGCGGGGTGAGGGGGTGAGTGGTATCGAGGGAGCACCTGGAGCCGGTGGGGGCCGGTGCGGGAGGAGCGCTGTGCGGGAGCCCTCGGAGTGGGGGGTGCTGTGCGGAGAGCCCCTGGCGCGGTGCGGGGGGGGGGGGGGAGTGATCCGGTGGGAGCCCCGGAGCGGTGCCCGGAGCGGTGCGAGGGGCGGTGCCGGGGAAGAACCTGGAGCGGGGCGGGAGCAGCGGCTGGGGGCGCCCCTCGAGCAGTGCGGGGAGGAGCAGCCGCACCCCACGGACCGCGGCCGGCAGGAAGCAGGCGCAGGGGCCGGGAGGGAAGTGCATCGCCCGCGGCCGCAGGAGAACCCCGGGCCGCGCAGAGGCCCCGCTCCCACCAGCCCGCCGCGCAGAGCGAAAGCGGAAAAAAAGGCAGCCCCGGCCCTGCCCCGGCCCTGGCCCGGCCCTGGCCCGGCCCTTGCCCCGCTCCCCGGCGCGGACGCCGCCACAGCTCGGCCCGCACTCGCGCCGTCGCCGGGGTCCGAGGGCGAGGAACTCCCGCCGACGCGGAGCTGGGAGCGCCCGCCGCCACCCCCGCGCCCGGCCGAGGGACCGCGGGCTGCCCCGGCCTCCCTCCCTCAGACACGCCCGCGCCCCGACAGGACCTGACCCGGCCCGCAGACGCCCGCACTCACCGCCGCGCTCACCGCGGCCCGGCGCAGCAGGCGCGGAAGCCTGTCGGCGGCTCGGCGCCCTCCAGCAAGCCCGGCCGGCGGCGCCCCCCGTCAACGAGGCTCCCCAGCCCCCGCCCAGGCGGGGCCCGCGCTGACGCACGCTAACGTCACTGCCGCGACAGGGCGCCGGGGGCCGCGTCAGAGCGCAGCGCGACGGCCTCCTCCTGCGGGCGAGGCCGTCCAGTGGCGGGCGCTGTGGCGGGCGCTGCGGCGGGCCCTGCGGCGGGCCCTGCGGCTTCCTTTCTCCCTCCGCGCCTGTCGCCCTCCGGAGGCGCGGGGCACGCGCCGGACTGCGGAGTCCTGCCGTCCGGAAGCCGGCGGAAACGCCCGGCCGCGCGGAGTCCCTCCGGGGTGGCCCTGGCGTCTGCGCCTGCGCCGTGGCGCCTGCACGCGAAGGTCGCGCGGCCTGCGCGCCCTCCGGCCCTGGGGGCAGGGCCGGGAGAGCTGCTGGACGCTCGTCAAAGACGGATTACGGACTGGACTGCGTAGTCGCCTGCGAATCCTGTGTACTGTACGGTCATGCGGTGTGTCACCCATCATAAGCTGTCAGTTTCCGACCTAGGGCAGGGACACTGCGAGGGGAGGGTCCTGGCCCCAAGGCTGCGGGCTGGGGCCTGGAGGAGCGATGCTGCCTCCCCGGGGGAGCTCCCGGGGCAATTGTGTCGGAGCCACTCGGTGAGGCAGCCTGGGGAATTTCAGGAACCTGGACCCCTGGGGCTCTGCCCGCCGGCCGGCCTCCAACCGAGGGCCTCGCCCCGGCTGACAGCTGCGGGAGGCCGGGAGGCCGGGTCTGCCCAGTGACTCAGACCTTCCCAACAGGACGCACGCTCGGGTGGTTGTCCCGCTCGGAGCTCCGGCCTGCTTCTCGGAAAGCTGCAGAACCTCCCTACATAGGTGGGAAAACACGCAGCAAGAACTGTTCATTCTAAAGTCAAGACTATTTCTCTTTTTCAGTTCTTGTCCTGACGAGAAAAATAAGATAATGAGTATACTTCCCTTTAGGGAAAATTCCACATTTTAAAAACGCAAAAGCCTTAAATACCTTTCCCAAAAAAAAAAAAAAAAAAAGCATGTAATAACATTCAGGTCTGATAAATAACTACTTTTTAACCTCTAATCTTGTATGACCTTGTAGTTTAGTGTTAAATGTATGCAGTTACCCCTTTATTCAATTTGTCTTCGTATTTCCAGTTTAGAGTTGCTGGTCATTTTTTAAAAAAGGATGTATATTTCTGCTGAGGTTGCATTCTAATACTTTTCACATTTATGTAGAAAAAATACAGGATCCAAGACCATTTTGAGGAAGAATTAGATTGAAGGGACTGGTCTACCAGATAGCAACTTCTATAATGAAGCCATAGGTATTAAAACTACTGTATTAGCATACAGATGATCAAAGCAACAAGATAAAGAGCCCAGAAAAAGAGACATATATTTATGTATTATGTATGTATTTGATACAACATTGGTATTACATATTAGAAAACGATTAACTGGTCAATAAGTAGTGCTAAACAAATAGTTATTTCAAAGGAAAATAAAATTACACTGTGACCTGTTAAAAAACTATTTTTAAAAAATTCTGTGGATAAAAACACTGAAAGTGAATAGCTATTGTTATGAATCTGGGGATTAGACATATTTTGTGTCATTATTGGTGCTGCAGGGAACAAAGATAATTTCTCCTCTACCCTTCTAGGTTCTTGGCTGAGACGTCCCTGCAGCAAAAAGATTAAACACAGAAAAACAAACACTTTAATAACATTAAACAAACATTTAATAACATGTATGCCTCCCGTACACCATGGGAGAGAGCAGAATCCTGAGTGACCCTGTGAAATGGCCCAAGCCATCACCTCAAATTCCATCTTCAGCGCTAAAGACCTAAGGTGTTGAGGGTGGGGAATCTATTACGGGAAGTCACCAGAAAAGCACAGTGAAAAGGGTAAAGCTACTATGCAGATTTAAGTCTTTGCCTTCTCCATTGATAAGAATTTCTAGAGATTTGGTCATCCTGCCCCCTTCCTGGTACAGCCAAGAAGAGACCCTTACAAATGGGGATATCATTTATATACAGGAACATCACTTACAAAAAGGTAACTTCTCCTGGATTTTCAGAGTTTATCCTGTGTCTGCTATTTCCTAAAAATAACCAACTCAACATTATTCTTATGTCAAAGAGACACATTTTAGGGTGGGCAAAATTCCACTCTTCAGTGCTCAGGGTTATATTCATAGTGGCCCTAGTAGAGGAGTCTTTGTTTGCCAGGCTGGTTTTGTACATTTCTTACTTCATACCTGCAATGAGCATTTATTCAAAGTGCCATCATTCATTTAGTGGAAAATGGTGTTTAAAGACCGTAAATCGAATGTTTATGGTGCTGATTCGTCCTGAGTTGTAACGTTTTGATAACCTGTTTCATGCAGAGAGCTGGGTAATATGGCCTTGTTTTGTTTTGTTTTCAATTTGTTTTTATAATAAAATGCATTATGGAATCTCACCTTGAATTCCACTTCAGAAATTCAAGGTTTTATTTAACCTCATTGATCATACATCCTCCTCTTCCTTCACACTGAAAAATCTCCGTTCTACTCCCTTCCTGTTGCATGGGTAATGATTCAAACTTTTTTTATTCATTTTTTAATTGCAGTTAATCATACTTATCCATATCTCCTCTTTTCTTAAATAGTAGCATACTTTTTTCTTCCTTTTTTCACCTTATAATTAATTCTGAAAAATCACTCAATAGTGATATATATAGAGACAGTCCTCGTTTTTCCCAGTACTCCATTGTGTAGGGGTACCGTAATATATTCACCTAGTATCATCCTATATTCAAACACTCCCTACTGATGAACATCTGGGTGGTTTCCAATCTTTTGCTATTATACATAGCACTATGATGAATAATCATAGACCTACATCTTATTCTAAGATACATTCCTAGAAGTTGGACTATTGGTCAAATGTTAAATTCATATGTAAGTTTGCTAGCTATCGCCAAATATCCCTCTGCTTGTGTAGGAGCATAGCGTTTTGCAATCCAGTCTACATGGGTTCCTTTTTTCTGTACAGCTTCACCAGTGGTGTATGTTGTCAGACTTTTAGATTTTTGCAAATATGTTGATAAATACTATTTCAGTACAGTTTCCATTTTATTGCTCTATTATGAATGAGATTGGACATATTTTCACATGTATATTGCATATGTAACATTTTATTTTTAAAAATTAAGTATAAAAGAAGGTTTGGATTGATAAAGTTTTGATATTGCTAAAGAAAAAAATATTCTGACACTTGTTGAAATCTCCACAGGGAAGGAAGCCTTCATTCAGGACAGTTGCATAAATGCATTGCAACAGGGAGACAGAGCAGCTAGACTCTGAATACAGCAAAGGCAGCTGAAGATTTACAGCCAACCAGCAGAATGAGGGGGTGTCGGTCAGTGGCTGTAAAATCACTTAGTGGAGTTCTTGAGAGCAGGGGATTCTTGTTGAAGACTGGCGAAGGGTGTAGACATCAAAGACAGGGATAAGGAATTTGCTCAGCTATCAAGGGCAGGGACGTGATCACTAGGCACACCTAGTGGGACTCTTGCTAAGAAGGGGAAAGCAAGCAGAAGGTAGGGCCCAGGGCACACAGTGCCCTCCATGTAACAGACCTCCCCTGTCTACTGAGCTTTTCCTGCTAACCTCCCCAGAACCAGCCACCCCCAACCTTCTCTGTCTTTAGTGAAGACCGTTGGCAAGCCTGTGGCTCAGGCCACATCAGGAGTTAACTCATTTCCCCCCATCTCTCCCAAGTGCATGCAAACTACACCCCTTAAACTTGTCTCCTTTGCTCTTGTTAATCTCTCAGTCAAGAACTCAGAAGGGTAGGGGGAAATTATTTTGTCTCGCATACGTCAGGGAATGTTCTCCAGCCGGAGTCCTATAAATTAGATGGGACAAAAGTAACAAGGGAAAAACAAGTTTATTAAAACGTGCATAATACATGTATAGAAGAGGAGCCTCAGTGACGACTACGCCAAAGAGGTAATTAGAACTTGGGCTTCAATACCAACAAAGGAAAAGACCTTTGGGGTTCTGAGTGAGAGAGGAAAGTCATAGAAAGTGGCCAGGGGAAAAATATGGTAAACAAGAAATCTTTAGGAACATGTGTTTTGCAGATTTAAGTCCTTGCCTTCTTCATTGATGGGAGTTATGAGTCTTCATCTTCCTGATACTTCAGAGGCAGATAGCTCTACAAATAGAAATTTACTTTATAAATAGAAATTTCCTTTTGGGAAAGAAAAACTTATGTTTTTAGAGCTTTTCCTGCATAAGATGTTTCTTGATGGACTTCAGCTCAAAATAATCCACATGCCAAAGGGACAATTTTGGGATGACGTATTCTGGTACCACTGAGTACATGGATGAAACACACACTTTCCTGAAATCTTGAAATATTTCATTAAAAGGAATAAACAAGACCCAGAACATTAAGAACTGGGACATTCTGGCCCCATCACGGCTCCTTCCCCCTACTTTTTGTTACTTACAAGTTCTGAGCATTCCCTTTCCATCCATTTGTCTTAAATCACTTTATATTTCTGCCTTAAGACTTTATTTTGTTTTTTTTAAATATGTAAAATCTTTTTCATTGAAACAACGAGTCTGAAAGCTTACTTGATTTAATTAGCTTATTTTACACCTGAGGGCTTGACCAAGGTAATTGCAGAAGAGATTTCTAGGGCATATGTGGAGAATCTGAATGTTCATGACAGCTTTGAAATTGTGTTGTCTGTATCAAAGTCAAATTTTCTAAACTTCAGAAATATTTTAAAAATAAGTAAGCTTTAATCACTTAATATGAATTAAAAATCTCAGCAGCTCTCATTTCAAAAATCAGTGAGTTAAAAGGATGATAAAGGTATTATGTTTATGGGTTAAATGGAGCTCCGTATATTGGCCTCATACCATTCATTTCTTCACAGGAGGCTGGAACCATTGGCTTAAAAGCTTGCCTGTGCCAAAATCAAAATTTTACACATCTAATTGCTTTAAATACATCCCCAGTAACCGTATTTTGGTTTGCCACTTAGAGTCTGCCTGCTTTGCATACACAGCCTCTGCTAGCTAAGAGAACCCTCCAGGCTATAAAAGTCTCCAACTTGCTGCTGCTGCTGTCCTTGCTCCCTGACTCAGAGGCTCCCCATCCAGCTGTTGTGCAATCACCTAGTCTTGTGAGCTTCCCCTCTGCCTCTTGCCTGGGACCTCCCTGGACCACATGCCCTCTAGCAGTCCCACAACTCCAATTTTGGGAGGCCTCCTGCTGTGAGAGACTTACCCTTGCAGGTGTCAAATGCCACCAAAATGAGGCTCAAGTTGTTGCTGCTGCCACCTGACCTGCCCCCTTGAACTTACTACAAAAGGAATCACAATCCTAAGAAAAGACCTTATGATTGTTGAAAGATAGTCACATGTGGGCAAATACAAGACAAAGGGGACCTTGCTCTTTCTGTATTTCCTGACAAAGGAGGCAGAGATAAAAGATTTCTAGGATCTGAAAAGCTGAGGCAGGTCCAGGGAAGGCTCTTCCTGAGGTTCCCCAGACAGCAATCATGTGGGGGACCCTGGACAGCTGAGTCCATAGTAGAATTATTGGAAAACCTTGAAAAAGTGCAATAAATAAATAAACAAAACTTTAGGTGACTTAGAAAGTTGAGTACTCCCCAGGCCCAAAGTAAACAAGATTACATAAATATTGGAAACATGGACATTTTTAAAGATGACAGCTTAAAATCATTCTAATCTTTGCAATATAGGCTGCATTGTCATAATGTATCAAATTTAGGTTTACTTTGATCTCTGCTGCTTTTTCTTGAGTTGTACTCACTTGGAAAAGAAAGGCAGAAGGAAATGCAAATAAAATAATCTCTTATAACCTGTAGCCCATTGACAAATACTTGAGGCAGGTAGAGTATAACCTTCCTCCAGGAAATCCCAAGCTTAATGTTGATACCTGGCTAGAGGGAAAACAACCTTATTTGACCATAACCAGGCCTCTGGGATCCTGAGAGTCTAGCATAAGAAAGTCCTTTTAGAAACTTCCCTTACCTTCACCTCCCCCAACACCAAACTATATAATCAGTGGCCCCTCACAATCCTGAGGCAGCAGCCCTTTCTGCCCATGGGTCCTGTCCCTGGGCTTTCATAAAATCACATTTTTGCACTAAAGATGTCTCAAGAATTCTTTCTTGGCCGTCAACTCTGGTCCTCACAAACATTCCAAAACTACATCAATACAGCCTTGAGCAAATTATTTTAACTCATTCACTTAAGAAATATTTATGGAGTGTATATCGTGGACATAAATTCTAAAACTGTCCTTGCCCACAAGCTCACAGGCTAGCAGAAGAGACCAATAAACAAGCTCTATACAATATGATAAGTCATCATAAATTCAAACACATGGACAATAAGGGAACATAAGAAAAAATTTAACGCAGGGGGGTGGTGTGTATGGCAGCACAGAGTAGATTCCTAGAGAGAATAATATTTTATAGTGCATATTACCTTTGCATACACTCTGATGAGTCTCTAATGTCTCAAAGTGATAAAATTAAGAGCAATTATATTTATCTAGATCAGTGCTATCCAATAGAAATGTAATATCGACATAAGTAATTTTAAATTTCTAGTAACATATTAAGTAGAAAGAAACAACTGAAATTATTTTAATATTTATACAATCCAATGTATCTGAAATATTACTTCAACATGCAATCAATATAAATTATTGAGATATTTTACATTCTACTGTATTAGGTCTTTGCAATTTATTATATATTTTATAGTTATCATACATCTCAATTCAGAAGAAGGTACATTTTAGTTACTTAGTAGCCTGGCTAGGGATTACCATATCAGATCACACAAATCTATTTTCCACCAATATTCCCAATATTTTCAAGTATGAAGACATCTCAAAATATTTTGAGGATAACCACATAATAATTCAATACTTTTTAAAGAGAGAGAGAGAGGTGGGGCAGAGGGAGAGAGAATCCCCAGCAGACTCCACCCTGAGTGCAGAGCCCAGCATGGGGCTTGATCCCAGGACCTTGAGATCCTGACCTGAGCTGAAACCAAGAGTCAGATGTGTAACTGAGTCATCCGGGCACCCCTATGGTTCAACACTTTTAATATCCACTGACTGATAAATCACTGAAAAAATACTTATGAATAAATGTAACAACACTTTTCCATGTATTTTTTCTTTTGAATAAGAGTGTCTACTGTTAAGAAACAAAATTCAACCAGTAAATTTGAAGGTGTGATTGGCTTCATTAAATGATTCATGAAAATAGGCAGCATTTCCTTTTAGCACATGGAGAAGAAATCCAAGAGGTTGCATAAAATGAAAGGTTTTATTGGAGGGAGGATGGGGCAAGAAAGTTTTAGAAAAGGAAAAGGATTGTTTTCATAGGGGGACCTGTGGCGGTCTTGGGCAGATGACCCTAACATTCTTTTGGGATTGGAGAGGACCCACATAACTGACTCACTGGTGCTGACGGGGATATTCCTGACTGGCCAGTTAAGACTAGTTCGGGGCCTTGGCGGGGGGGGGGGGGGCGGGGGGATTGAAACTGCAGTTTGATTAGGTATTAGGCCTGGTGTGGTTCTCTTTCTAACACTACATATATTTGAAAAATGGTACAATAGGGATGGTAGGAGGTTGTACCATATAGTAATATGCTGGGATGTAACATGCTCAAGCAACTTTGAAATGGATTTTGGCCTGATAAAATATATTGATTGCTATTTTCAGGCATGACCTAAGTTCTGTTGTAAACACAGCTATTATGGTAAGGTGAGTAAAAGGACCAGGTGACCACTTTCTGAGGGATGATTCTAATATCCTGCCAGCAAAATGAACATTACACTAAAGAGTTCCTAAGGTCTCCCAATTTCTCCTCCTGCCTCTTTCATTTATGAGCCAGGAGACATCAGCTGATACACTTGACCTCTCTTAAGCCTCAGTTTTTATGCCTCTAAAAAACAAGAGCAGTGGCGGGCCTGGGTGGCTCAGTTGGCTCAGGTCCTGACCCCAGGGTGGTAAGTTCAAGCCCCACATTGGGTATTAGTGTTGCTTCTAAAATAGTGAATCCCTTCTACATTCCACCTGATAGTTTTGCCTGGAATTTACTTAGTAAATACCCACACAGTCTACTGGGATGTATAAAGCATCAGAAGGATGTGAACACAACTGAATCATGTGGACTATGACCAAAGGGCTACCTAATGGCTACTTGCATGAAGTAACTATCAGAAAGTGACAAGAGTGCATGTGAATGTCATGAGCATGGCCCGAGTATGAAATTAAGTGTGGTTCAAAGTTCTGAATTATAGCACTTATTATATATTATATATTGAGGTTTAAAATATCCCCCCAATTCAGACTGAAGGCCAGGTTGGGTTGGGACAGAGGGGATAAGGTTGGAGAGAATGAAATGAATTAATGCAGGTCAAACACACCAAAGTGGTGCCTGACTATCAACCCACTGAGTTACCATTATTATCTATGGTGATTTATTTTTTCCAAATCAGAATTTCAAGTTAACTAACATATAGATGAATAACAAAACATTTGAATAAATAAGTAGGTTGTGTTAGCTGTGTATTACCAAAATGAGCAACGAATAAGAGTTTCACAGTGAAGATGGCAAAATTAAAATACTGTAATATAGTACATAAGAATGAGATTTTTTAAAAGAATGTTGCAAAAGGAAAATGAACTTTCTAAATAGTTGTCCTGTAACAATGTTGTTACAAACCACCCAAACAATAACGCAATGTTACCAATAATTTAGCCAAATGCCCCAGGAGGAAGCTCTCAGTCTGTGGCCAGACAACTGAGCAAAAGGAGAGGCAGAATCAGCTGCACCTCAAAGTAGTAAGTCTCCCTGAGCCCCAAAATGGACGTTCTCCTCCTTGCTTGAGCAGCAGGACATCTAGAACATCTAGAGCTGCTTTGGATGATTGGCCTTTGCTTGTGCCCCCACAATATTCCTCATTACGGTGCTACTTCAGGTTTTTTTTTTTTTAATTTTTTTAATTTTTTTATTTATTTATGATAGTCACATAGAATGAGAGAGAGAGAGGCAGAGACACAGGCAGAGGGAGAAGCAGGCTCCATGCACCGGGAGCCCGATGTGGGATTCGATCCCGGGTCTCCAGGATCGCGCCCTGGGCCAAAGGCAGGCGCCAAACCGCTGCGCCACCCAGGGATCCCTACTTCAGGTTTTAAAGCCCTAATAAGTCTACAGGAAATAAAAAGTAGAAAATTATTAATGGGGCATGCTGAGTACCAAAAAGTAATGTAAACAAGGAAACTTTGCTGCCCTGACAGTACAGAATACATTGTTCACCACAATAGGCTGTGGGTTCCAGCCTAGGCTGCTAACCCATACGCTATGTCCCAATTCTAATACCAAAGTGGTGAGAATAAAACAAGCAACTTTTCTGATGGGAAGGGCAGGCATGAGACTTCCCAAAGGAAATAAGCAAGTTTGCGTATTCAACTCCCACGTCCCACAGAACCCTGCAGATGAAAGCCAGGTGTACTCCCCGCCACCCCCCCACCTCCCCACCCCCCGGGGCTTGACCAGTGTGAATGAAGAAGCATCTTGTAGTAAAGGATCTAAATAGGGTCCAACACCCACAAGGTCTTAAGGAGCATGGAGGCAGCCTGGGAGGGAGTAAACTGATACAGAAATAAGGAGTTTAAGACCAAGAGTAATTGTGATGGCTTTATTAAAATGTTCTTCACAGAATTCTTTGCAAAACCACCAAGTCCCTAAAAAGTCATCCAACAAATATCAAGACCTACTACATATAGGACACTGATCAAGAAAGGCAAATAATCTGTTTCTTCATAGGACTCCAAAATATTTAAAATTCTGAAAGCTTAATTCAAAAATTTAAACTTCACTTACGATTTCAGTAGTGTTGAAATTCTGATTCAGTAGCATGCTTGTAGTGCTCTGTCTTTTTCCACGTGAACAAAAGCCTATCATTCTAACATACATATGGCTCACATGTTTTAGCTATATATTTATATAAAACAGTTCTGAGTTGCAAAATAGATTTAAAAATCTTAAGGAAACCAACCATTCCAGAGGTCAAAATTATAATACATTTAATCCACTCTTTCTAAATTAGACAAAGTCTTGGGTCTTTTCAGGAAAGAAATGTACGAACTGTGCCCCTGACTGTGCCTCTACAAATAGGACATTTTCTTAGGGACGGGGCACAGTCTCTGCACACCACCAGGTGACCACAAGGAATGAACACAATGGACACTTCTTTGTCCATGCACACTTTACACGTTCTTTCTTCTTGTAGTCTCCTCAATTGCTCTTCCACTGGCAAATCTAACAAGAGAAAAGAATGGTTAAGGAGAGGCAACTTACTGCTGCTTCTCCAATGAAAAGCCAAGAAAATAAAACCAATAATTTGTACTGGTTTAAATTATTAATGCTATTTTACCTGAGATGTCTTCCGTGGGAATATACTTTCTATCCTGTTGTACTAAGGGAGTAAAACAAAAAGCATTACTAATAACAAGTAAGGCTAATATTGAGTCACAAAATATATTTTTTAAACTAACAGTTTAGACTCTAGCCAAATGCTATAAATGACCATCATCATGTCAATGCAACAGAACTCTTTCATCTTTTAGATCGAATTATTTTCAGTATTTATTATTTTCATAATAATTAAGAGCATATTTTTTAGTTGAATTGAATTGAATTTTAAGTTCCAGTGACTTAGCATACAGTGTAATATCAGTGTCAGGTGTACAGTGTCGTGATTCAGTTTCCATGCACCACCCTCACTTGTCACATTAAGAGCATATTTTCAATTGACCTAGAAAGTTCCCCAAACTAATTGCATAACACTCACCAAAGAAACGCTTGTATAACATGGGGTCAATTTCTTGCAGAGAGTTTTTAAATATGGTGACTGCAGAACTTCCCTTTACTAACACGGTATCGATCAGCTCTCTTGCTTGTAAAGATGTTCGTGCCTTCTGTTTAATAGAACTGTGTTCTTGCTCATTAAGCACCCCGGCCATTAGGAGACTGTCCAGGATTGGGAGCACGTAAGTCAAATGTTGGAAAAGCACCATTTTGTTCTTCCGGATTAATGATACATCATCTTTATAAAAAAAAAAAAAAACAAGCATGAACACGTTCCAACTCTGCTCAAAGGCTTCCTTCCACATATACACATAACTGAATGGAAAACCCTCAAAATTCATGATCCATTGGGCACCGCAGGGGATGCTAGGTCCAGGGGTTCCAGGATGAGCACCCTGTCTGTCATGTGTCCCTTCATTCCATGCTCCCAGCAGCCACAGAGGGAGGTGCCAGGGCCCCCACTTAGCAGAGGAGGAAACAGGCTCGTGAGGCAAGGGAACTGTGCAAGGACACACAAACGGAGGCAGTCTGGTGTCACAGGCTGTGTCCTCAGACATCTGAACAACGCTCAGCCTTTAACCAAGTCAAAGTCAGAGCCTGATCAAACTAAAATTCCAATTCAATCTAGTCAACTTGGGGAAAGATAAAATCAAGAGATTAAAAAGGACACAAAGTGTATTTCTTCAATTATCATCCACCTGTAAAATTTCTTCAAAATTCCCATTTTAAGATGAAATTTTAATTATTTCTCATATTAGACTGGATATTGCCATTACCCAAATTTTTTATAGTAAGTGGGGAAAGGCACCAACAGCATGTTAAAGATTAAATCCTACTTGTCAGGTGATAACTTTCTGTCCATAGGATCATTGTATTTGCCGCTGAGATCCAGATTTTGTATTTGTTGGTAAAATATTTTATATTTTGAAACTCTGCAATTTTATTATCTCCTTGGACTTTAACTTATGAATCTAAGTTTATTCATTATTACACAATTTTACCATGATCCTTAAGGCTCTTTCTATGAAATAACTAATGACAGAAGTGTGGCTGTCCAAAAAAGATTATCTGGGGGAAGATGATGTTAGATTTTTGAAACACTGACTCTGTCAAGTAATAGGAGATAAAAACCAAACCATTCAATAAAAAATTAAAAAAAAATACCGCTTAGTAAAATAGTCAAGGTCAAAGATACACATTTTGAAGATAACTAGAGCTCTGGGAGTAAATGGGAAAAGGAGAAGGGCTTAGGTGGTATCTACATAAAGTACCTGCTCCATAAACAGCTGTCGAGCAAATGAGCCATAGTAATGTAAGGAGCAGAAGGAATAGAGAGGTCATGGCCAGAGGGGTTAAGAATTAGAACCTAATACATTTGGTGAAATCATCTAATAGAGAAATACTGATATACCAGAAAATTAACATATAATTTACACTTGATGTTGATGTATATTCATTTTTCCATCTAAGATTTCTTTTTTTTAAAAGGTCTATTTATTTATTAGAGAGAGAGAGAGAGCAAGAAAAGGGAGGTCAGGGGGAGGGGCAGAGGAAGAAGCAGATTCCCCTCTGAACACAAAGTCCAGTGTGGGGCTCAATACCAGGACCCTGAGATCATGACCTGAGTTGAAATCAATAGTTGGATGGTAATTACATTTTACTTAGACTATTGTAATAAGTTATCTGAAATCCTTAAGATTTCTAAAATCGTATTGCTAGTGGTTGAGTCATTTCAAAGTCATAGACTATTCTGGCTTATAAGAGGTAAAGACTTGAATATACCTTTGAAGCATATTAATCTTTTGCTCTGGAAATGAAATCCTAAACTGCCTCTTTATTTACACACCTGTCAAGAAATTATTTACCCGCTGTTCTTGGGAAAACTATAAAGTCATCAGTAATCTCAATGAAATATTTTCATTTATTCATTAAAGCAATATTTCTTGAGCACAGACTATGTGAAGACTGTGTGCTGGACAGTGTAGACATAACAGAGAGTGCAGATGCTACAAGATCTTTTTGATGCAAATTATTGTATTGTTGATTGCAGACCGTTGATTTTCTTTGAAATAAATACAAGTGTTTTGAGGTGCCTGGGTGGCTCAGTTGGTTAAGTGTCTGTCTTTGATTCAGGTCATGATCTCAAAGTCCTGGGATCCAGTCCCAAGTCAAGCTCCCTGCTGAGCAGGGAGTCTGCTTCTCCCTCTGTCCCTCCCCACCACTCTTGTTCTCTCTCTCTCAAATAAATAAAATCTTTTTATAAAAAAGAAAGAAATACAAATGTTTTATAGCTGGATGGCTTTAGACTTCATAGTGTCTACAAACAATTGTAGAGGTGGGTATTTTCTTCTTCAAGGGATGATGACCAACAACTAAGATGGAGAAGACCACTGCAAGGATACACAAAGATGAGCTTGGGCTCCGTTGCTGTTCGTGTTGGTGGTTTGCAGAATTGAATAAGTCACACTTTGGTAAAGGCAGGATCTGTTTGTCCAGATTGGCTAGAAGACAAATCCACCTAAGGAGTAGGCTTATCCAAATCTGGAGTTGATGATCTGCCAATCATCTTTGGCAGAAATAGATCCCAGATGGCACTGGACAAAGTTAAGGGGCAAACTCTCTGCCCTTTCTGGGCTTTGGGGGTATTTGGGGGAGTGAGGTCTCCTAAGAGAAAACATGCTTGGGACTAACCTAGTCATTTGTGTAAAATGGTCAAAGCTATATTATAGCGATGAACCAGAACAGATGCTAGGCAGAGAGATTCTCGAGGATGCCTTTAAGGGGACTAAGAGAGACCCAAACAGCTAGAGTTGTCGACTGTCATCCATGATGTAAACACTCTGCTGTTATTCCCAAATCTCTAGTAGGAGCTTCTGAAAAGTTGCAGTTTGCTTTAAACTATATTGAATAGACTTATGGATCTGGTTCATGCTTGTCAAAGAGCAGCAAAGGAGAGACGAGCATTTCTGTTTGTCTAGGCCAGAGTAATGACAGCATTCAGAGTGACCAGATGGGGATGGATATGCCTGGAGGAAGAGAGTCTTTGTGAAGGGCCACAGAGCAAAGGCCATATAGTGGCAGACAAGGCTAGCATGGAGGGACATGGCTACCTTGTCTTGAGAGAATGTGCAACAGTGTCCTCACCCTCCCCTCAAGAACAGAAGGACTCCCTCAGTTCTTATATTGGCTGGCAGGAAACATAATCATAATTTGTACATTAACATGTGTTATTAATGCTATAATAATGTCATTGGGGGAGCACCTGGGTAGCTCAGTGGTTGAGCATCTCCCTTCGGCTCAGGTCGTGATCCCAGGTCCTGGGATCGAGTCCCACATTGGGATCCTCGCAGGAAGCCAGCTTCTCCCTCTGTCTATGTCTCTGCCTCTCTCTCCATCTCTCATGAATAAATAAATAAAAATCTTTAAAAAAATAATAATGTCATTGGGCTGAGACACTCTGTTATGCTAATATTAAAATAATTGTCCCTGATCCCACCCTGATTTGCAGCAAAGGAGAGTGAGCCTGGGATCACAAACAAGCCTTGATTACATATGCAGTCAACAACTTAGAGTAAAAATATAAATTAAGAAAATGCTTTCACTCAATACATACATTTTCCACTGACTAATGAGCAATTCAAATACAGTGTAATGTAAAAAAAAATTCCAGAATTCAAATTGAAAACACTAAACATAAAACTTGATTGCCCTGACAAGGAGTATACTTTTAGTGACTTACACATGGTGGCATCATATCCACACAGAGACAGACACCAATCAATGCGGATATGTACCTGATTCTCTGTTCTCAGCTGCTCTTTCTTTCTCCTCCTCCCTTATTTCATCTTCCACGTGGAGTAGGTCAGACACGATCTCATTAACCGTTCTGTAATTCTCTCCAGTGCTCAGGATCTTACTCTGCACAGTCTGCCTCACCAGGCTCCTACTGAAGCCCATCTCCAAGGCGGCCATCACCACCGGGGTGTTCATCATGACTGCATCCTCTGAATGGTATTCTCCAGGTCCAAAATGGACAACTACATGGAATAAGGGATTTTCCACATGTTGGGAGAGTCTGTATATCTTTTGAATTGAAAGTTATTACATTTCAAAAACATAAAGCCCAGAACATATAGGCATTGTTTTATACTAACTTTGTTAAATTTAAAATAACGATGTACATGTTCAGTCACTAAATAAGAATATGGAATAGTGTATTATGATAGAAAATATGCATTACCAGGCATAACTATGAGTGGGAGAAAGGAACAGAAGGTTGGATATCACCATCCACTCAGCATTCTTTTCTCCCTATGATGAATGAACAAATGAGCTTTCTAAATCAAGCACGTGTCACATATTTTTCAGAGAGGCCACTGTCCTCACTCATGCCATCACTGCGGGGCCTCCTACCATGCCTCTCCTGTCTCGTTCCTTCTCAGCAATGCCACCAGAGTGGCTTTTCACAAACACAAATCCAACTGTGTAGCACTCCTTCTGAAATCTCAGCAACATTTCCATTGTCCTCACAAACGTTTGACTGTGGCTCATAAGACGGCACACGATCTGGGCCCCACTCACCTCTTCAGCCTCATCTCCTACCACTTTCTCCTTCACATGCTATGCTCGAGCCCAGAAGTCACAAACTGTTGGCTCTTGGGTCAGACTCTGCCTGTGCAGCGTTGATCATTCAAAGAACTCTGCTTCCTTTATTTGCCTGTTCACAAATCCCACCTCTGGTCATACAGAATTTTGTTCAGTTCTTCAAATGTGCCTGTTCTTTTTTGTCACTTAAGACTTTCACAGGCTGTTCTCTCTGTCTAGAATATTCTTTTGACAAATATTTTGACAAATATTCTTTTGACATCTGGCTAACCCCTACCCTTCCCAGGTTTTCTGTGCTAAGACGAATACCTCCTCTGGAAAGCCTTTTCTCATGTTCCAAAGTCCGGGTGCACGGTCCTTCATGCATTCCCACAGCACACCATGCTTTACTTTTCCATACCCCTTTCTCCTACCTGTGTACTTGTCTGAATCCCCTGGACTGTTGGCTCACAAGAGCAGGAGTTATGTTTACTCTGTTCTGTGTCCTTTCCTCAGAATAGCAGGCACACAATAAATATTTATTGAATTAAATTAAACACTAGATAATAGAGTAGAACAGCCTGTTCAAATATTGGCTCAATCACCTTTTAGGTTTAGCCTAAAAAGACAGGTCATTTAACCTATCTGAGCTTCAGGGTCCCTCTTGAGGAATAGGAATAATATTTTCTACTATCTTCATTTTATAGAAATAATATGTGAGCGACCTAATGTCAGACTACCTGTGTTCCCACAAGGTCTGAAAATGAGTGTGAGGCTGGATGCATGTGGTCTGTTAAAACAACATATTCAAATCCCACCCTTAGATGCCATGGCTCAATATGATAGCTTTAAAGTGGAGACCAGAAATCTGATTCCTTAGGCAATTATGATGAGCACTAAAGTGTGAGAAATACAAACTTAATGAATGTGAGAGTGCATTATAAAGTATAGAGTGTCATATGGTACAATAATATGACCACTATCAGCTTTCCGTCTCCAGAGTAACAATGGTTCTATTTAAATGCAGTAATTATTGTCATTATACTTACTTGGTGACTCAGTATTTTCATCCTCTGTGTTGTCTGAGGTAGATAACAACTACAGGAAAAAAATTGTAAATTAAAATATAAGTCTCAGCCTGTCCATTACAATGTACATGAGTCAAGAAATCTATTTTATTCAATTTATTGCAGACTGACTTGCTTACAGTCAAAATGATTTTTTATCTTGAAAGCAGTATTTTGTTTATATTCAACAGTTATTCTCTACACCATAAACTATACTTCATAGAATCTATATTTGTGAAGGCAAGAAAAGGGCTATATCTTCTCAGTAATCTATGAGACAATTATGGTTTGCCTTTCATCCCAAACATCTTACATTTCCTGGGTCATCCTTTGGAATAAGTTGGACCCTCTATCAGTTCTACTAACTGGGGCTGAAAAGTGTTTGATCCTCAAACTATTATATAAGTTCTCATCTGCTTTTCCAGGAAGATTATTTCCCATTCAGCACTTTGATATTCTACCACTCTCTTCTGACCTGACAAGTTTTTGCTTGAAAAACCTCCCCTAGACTTATAGGGCTTCCTTTATATGTAACTGTCTTTTTCCTCCTTGCTTTTAAGACCCTCTATCACTACTTTTTGCAATTTTAATTATATGTGCCTTAGTGTGGACCTCCTTGGGTTGATTTTGCTGTGGATTCTCTCTGCCTTCTGGATCTGGATTTCTGTTTCCTCAGATTCAGGAAGTATTCAGCTATCATTTCTTCACATAAATTTTCTGCCCCCTTTTCACTCTCTCCTCTTCTGAGATCCATATATTATAAATATTGTTATGCTTGATGGAGTTGCTGAATTCCTTAAGCCTATTCTCATTTTACATAATTTTTTCTCTCTCCTGCTCAGCTTGATAACTTCCCATTACTCTGTCTTCGAGGTCACTAATTTGTTCCTCTGCTTCTTCCATCCTGCTGCTCATTTCATCAAGAGTGTTTCTCATTTCATTTATCTCTGCTATCTTATTCTTTATCTCTGTTATAGGGATCACTCATGCCTTTTCTCAAGTCCAGTGAGGATCCTTATGATCATTACTTTAAATTCTCCATCAGGCATGTTACTTATATCTGTTTCACTTGGCTCTCTTGCTGTGGTTTTGTCCCGTTCTCTCATTTGGGACGTAGGTTTCTGTCTCCTCATTTCAGTCTAACTCTGCCTGTTTCTATGTATTGAGAAAGTCAGTGATGTCTTCTGCTCTTCAAAGTCATGGCCTCAAGAAGCAGAGATGCTGCAGTGCCCTGTAGTGCTATGTCCCTCCTTCCCCAGGACCCGGCCATTCAGAGTATCTCCCATGTGTGTTGTAGATATCCTGCTGTTATGGCTCAGCCACATTGGCCTTAAGTCCAGTCATCTGCAGATGCTCCCCTTGCCTGTTGTGGGCAGTTTTGTCCCCATGGGGTTTGTAAGCCAGTCTGGGGCCACCTTGGGTTTGAGGTGAGTCAGACTAGGCACTCACCAGAGATGCAGAAGCATTGAGCCACAGGGTTCTTTCCCTATGTTGTCCCCTGAGAAGCTTGCATTGGTGGGCTGAGCCCACAGTCTACCTGCTGTCTGCTCCCAGCCCAAGGCTGGAGCTGCCATCTGACTGGTGTGTGTGCTCATCTTTCCCTCTTCCTGGAGAAGGAGTCACTTTGGGGGGGTCCTGGCCCCTGTTGGGGCTGCTTGCACACTGCCAGCCTGTGGCTCTGGTTGGATGAGCTCTAACCAAGAGTACATTGGATGGAGTGCATCCATAAATTACAAGACATAGTGTCAGCAAGGTTTGTGCCAGTCTTCCGGTTGAAGGGGACCCGCAGCACCAGGGCTGAGGCAGGCCCACTGGAGGAAGTGGTACAGTGTAAGCAAGTGAGGTAGTGAGTGTCAGGGCCACCCTGGCTCCCACTGGTGGCTGTGTGTTTATGCTGAGGGGGACCTGCCAGCTCCTTTGCTCCTGCAGAGTTTCCCTCCGTGAACTCTGAGATTCATTAATGACTCCGTCTCCCATACACCCCAAGTGTTTTTCAAACTGCTGCTCCTTATACCGTATCTCTGCAGGCTGTGTCTTTATGAGCAGGGACTAGGTTCCTCTCACCCACTAGTTGTCCCATTGCTGAGCCACTGATTTTAAAAGTTCCAAGTTTAAGTCCCGCTGGTTTTAAGGACTCACAAAATTCAGCCCCTCTGGTTTTCAAAGCCAAATGTTACAGGGCTGTTCCCTGCGTGGGCTCTCTGGTGTGAGGGTCTGTTTTCTCTACACTCTCTGTGCCTGTGGCTCCTTCACTCCCGTGGATGGCCCAGCCCACAGAGCCTCCACCCTTCCTACCCTCTTTGATGTGGCCTCTTCTCTATTTAGCTGTGGAGAGCCTGCTCTATCAGTCTTCCAGTTGTTTTCTGGGTTATTTACACTGATGTGAGTGTTACCTAGTTATATCCATGGGATGGACGAGATGAGCCTAGGCTCCTCCTACTTCACCATTTTCCCAGCAATCTCCTCCCAGGAAGATTAGAAAGAGTGATACAATTCTCTTTCTCAAGTCTTTTAAACAAAAATTTGTGTGGTAAAACTATCAAATACTGCCATCCCAACCAATTTTTTTCCTCAAGTAATTTAATTTATTGCAACTTTATTAAAGAAATACTTAGAGCCATCCCTCACATATAATTTTTTAGGACGTCTTGAATTCTGAATCTGTTTTTGTCCAAAGAATAGTTCTAAGACCATGTTGGGTATTTTTAAAAATGAAATGTATTTTTAAAACAACTCTTATCTTTTCACTAAATTGGTGTACTACTCTCTGTAATTATCAGAAAATAATTTATCTGTTGTTAACCAATGAACCAAAAAAAAAAAAAAAAGAACCATCCATACTTGTTCAAGTAGATGAGGGTAACTGGCTTGAATCTGACTGATGAACTCTTGTCCTTTGATGCGTATCAAGTACTCACACCTAAAACATAAACAAAATTAAGTTTGTGGGGTTAATTTAAATCCCACCATCTGTAGCCTGTTAAATATTTTGTGTGAACATTCATTTCACATACTACAGTAAAGGCGAGATGCCATAAGCAAGAGAGCCTGCATGGGCTGTTCTGCTGTAGCCGAAGCTACAAGGGTCATGAGATGCTCAGTCCTCCTGGCGGCAAGGTAGGCTGCCTCCACTGAGAGCTCCCAGCTGCCCTCTTCAAAAGTTTGAAGACTGATATAGACACTCTGAACATTGAGCTGAGGAAGTAGGTAGAAAGCTCTCTAATAAATGACACTGTTCACTCATAAGGTTTGTAGGTTTAAAAGTTAACAATATACAAAGAGGGACAAGAGAAGTAATGACGAAGGTGAACATATTTCCTAATAGGTCAGGTCTTCACAAGCTGGCAATTCCTGGAGAATACACATCACAGTTGACCTCAAGCACAAAATGAACCCCTCACACTACCAAAAGCAAACTCACCCTTCTTTGTATATATTCACAAAATCAGCACCATGGAAGGCCAGCGGCACTGTTCAAAAACAACTGTGTAAGGGGTTCTTCCTAATCTTTGTGAGTTTTGAAATCTGAAATATTTGGGGCACGTAAAGGTGCTATAAATAGAGTATGATACTAACAATTTACGTTAGGAAAATACATCAGGATACTGAGTTTAGTAAGCAACATTAAAAACACCAAAAGTTTTGACCATGCAAAAATATAATCATAAGCTACCTGATTTCAATTTAAAAAAGGAGAATGTAAATAAGTAAAGAACAATCAAAAGTGTAAGAATTGACAATAAAATGCTCTGTAGTGATCAAACAGATGAGGTGGGTCTGGATTTACCCCGACCATCATATTGAATATTGCGGCCTGCCTGGTGCTTCTGATTCTTTGTATCCAGCTCTGCTTTTCCTGTCTACCCATAGCACTTGCTATCTCCTGACATGCCATGGAACTCATTTATTAAGTTTTTAATTAAGTGTATGCCTCTCTTGCTATTAAATTCACCTATGAGACCAAGGATTTTGGTTTTGTTCAACTGAGTGTTTTAACCATCGGAACAGTCCCTGGCCAAAGACAAGCAATTAATATTAAATGTTGAACAAATGGAAATAAGTCCAAAACATAAGAATGGCTGAAAAAAAGTTTCAAAACAATATATATAATATCTAATTCATGTATTCCTATCTACATTTATCTGTATGTGTACATATTCAGGAAGAGATGTCTGTAGGGATAGTCATTAAAATGCTAACTGGTCCTCTTTAGGTAGATTTCTGGATGTTCACATTTTTTTCTCTGTGCTTTTCTCCAGTATGTGATTTTCGTCCTATGATGAACATATATCATTTTAAAATAGATATCTATTTTTTCATTATACAGAAAAAAACCTACACCTCTATCTTCCATCGAAATAGTTCAGTGATTTTCTAGGTGATCCATCCTAAGTTTATTCACAAGTGCATCTTTGAAACAGAGTAGAGCAACAGCTTATTCTAAGGGAAACACATATAACCTATGTGATGATAACAGCACACTTGCAAAGAGAGTGCCAAAGCAACAACCTGGGAAACCACTTGGCGTGCTCCACCCACGGGTCGTCTCCAGACTCCCAACACCGCAGTCCACCGTCACAGCAGAAGCACTTGACATCATCACTGTGACCTACAATTAATTGTGGACCAAACTGATGAATACATATAATATGCTCATTGAAAATGTGTGAGATGAAGGCTGACGACAGAGGAAGTGTCTTACCCATGTAATAAAAACCAGCACTAGCAAGCTGCTCAGGGTGAACAGGAGCTCGGGGTGGCCAGTTACAGAAGGTTCTGGAGCGGGCCGCGAGGGTTTGCATGCTCAAGTTGGAGGCTGTATATCTCACAGTGGCTTGAAGCTGACCTTCCACAAATGGGCAGTCGGGGAAGTGTCTCAGGTGTTCCGACAAAGCATCATCATCCGGCTCCCAGTTGCTGAGCTTCCCACCACAGGCAAAGCAGGCCACCCTGTCCCCAGGCCCCACATAGTAAAAGCCGGCTCTGGCCAGGGCCGATGGCAGTGGGAAGGCCAGGGGCCAGCCCTGGAAGGTGCACAGTCTCTCTTCCTCGCTCTTCATGGTGACGCAGGAGGGGCCTGCCCTCCAGGGGGACATGGCTGGACTGGGTCTGAAGTCGACAGGGTCCACAGGGAAGCTGGAGTAGGATGCGCTGAAATAGCTGCTGCGCTCCAGGCCAGGGGATTGTGCATGTATGGACCTGGCCTCCGATGAAGGGGCAGGGGGCTGAGAGGCAGCCCCCACAGTGCTGACAGCACTGAGATTCTGGATAAAGCTGCAGCTCGGGTACAGGTTTCTGTGCTTGCCCGTGGGGTTGTCCCCAGCCTTCCAGTTGTCTAGCATCAGGCCACAGCAGAAGCACCGGACCCTGTCCTTGGCACCCGTGTAGTAGAAGCCGGCACGGGCCAGGCTCCTCTCGGACACGGGGACGCCCGCGGGGAATGTCGAGTATGTGGACATGCGGTACAGTTCACATGAGTGGTCGTACTTCAGTTCGAACACAGGGCTGCTTCTCAGCAGATTTGACAAGAATATGCTATTTTGTACTATGTTCATAGTGAGGTGGACAGGGAAGGAAAGGGACTAGCCTTTCTCGGGGGAGGTAGTTTTGTGCACGGCTCTAGATTTGGGTTGGTTTTCACACTAAGTGGGACCCCAGACCAGGAAACCTATTGACCCGTGCCTGTGCACGCAAGGGCTTCGGCGTGGTGAGATGCTGGTTCTACACTGACAATTACGTACAACCACACCTTTGCACCGTCTTCATACAGCAGCTCAAGCATGACAATACAGCACCTCAAAGACAATCAAAACCCTTCACAGGGGCATGGAGCCCTGTAGGTCAGCAGGTGGCCCTCAGCATCTGCGTCCCCCCCGGTGGCCAGCGCTCTCATGGACGCGTTCGACCAGTCTGCAGATAAAACATGGGGCTTAGGCAGCTTGCTTGTCTTCACGGTGGAAAGTTATGCTCTGAAAGTCCTCTACAGAAAAAAAAATTCTAACTATGTTTTGCTTATGAAATTTCGCAGCCAGAAAAAGAGAAAAAGCCTAACACCTACCTCAAAAGAAGAATGCACTACCGTATTTCCCTGATTCTAGGATGCACTTTTTAAATATCTCTGTCATCTTACAACTAATAGCATATAGCATTTTAATTAGCAGCATTTTTATTTCCAAGAAGTATATAAAGTAATGGTATGTCTTATAATCAATGACATCTTAGATGCAATGAAATACAGTATATGTCAAATCTTGCTCAAGTAATTTTTTTTCCTACAATAATTTTAATGGGGGAAAACAAACAACAAACAATCTAGAAACTAACTAATCTAGCCTAAAAAGGAACAGAATTGGCTGATGCATCTTAAGGCCTGCTTAAAAATTTACTAAATAATAATTACTTTCCACAGTCCGGAGCTTGGTTGCTAACTCAGTGATTGCACTAGAACTTAGCAAATTAAACATTCTATTCCAAATATATTTTAGTATATGTGCTGCCGAAGCGAGCACTCTATTCCAAATAAATTATCAGAGATGAATGCATTTGCTCAGATGGTCTTTTGGGGGCACAGCTTTGTGCTGAGAGACAAGACTAAATCTTCTATTCTGATGATGGATTTATTTTTTTAAAAGAATCAAGATTCAGAGTGCTGAATTTGTAGGCTAAGATGGATAATCAAATCATACAAATTTGGCTTTAGTCAGAAATAATTTTACAGACAGCATACCGTGAACCAGAATTTATCATAACAAAAAAATAACAATAAATTTACTTTGTCACTGTCTACTCTTTTTGACAGAAACCTTCTAAAAGTTCAGAAACCTCTGTTATGACTAGCTATTTGTAATATTAGCAACGACCGACAAACAAGTCGTGGTGAGTTCCCTCGCGGGGATCCATGTCAGATCCACCAACACTGGGCCCTCTACTCCAAACTTTCAATGCTGTATTTCCAGGTGGCATGAGAAACGCGTCTCCATCCCAGCTATGATTTCCCTCAAAGCTAAGCTACTATGTCTCACTTTGCTTTGCTTCTCTTTGCTACAAAAACCTTTCTGGTGCTAGTCACTGTCTCTGTGCACCTTGTCTCTGCTAACTCTGTTCATTTCCCAAAACCTAACCACCTCGCCATCATTCTCACTGTTACCCTTCTCAGAGATCACACCGCATTTGAACAAATGGAGTTTGGGATTTCTCACATATGGACATTCACATACATGGCTGGATAACTCCTTTACCAATCAACCATGCTAAGGTGTCACTGTCTCTCTACACATGTCATACCACGATGTCTTGTCACTGTGGAAGGCTTCCAACCCATCAGCTGCCTCACCAGCATGTTTCTCTACTTTAGCGGAGGGGTGAATATTCTCTTTGTTCTGGATAACTGCCACTATTTTTAGATCTTTACTAAACATGAGTTCCTTATTTCTATTCTGCACTGCAGCCCATGCTTCAACAGTATGTTCCAGCTAGAACCACTTCCCCTTTAAGTCCATAAGTCAAATTCAGAATTTAACATCATTATCACTTCCTTGACACAACTCATATCACTAGGTCGTGCCTTTTAAATTAACATTCTTTGGATACCACAAACGCCAGTTCACTATGGAATTTGTTTATTCATGCACAAAACTACCTCCCGGAGATTAGACTAAGTCCCTTTTAAGGTTTTAGGCTTCCATTTTGAAATGTTCTGATTTATAGAAAAAACTGGAAAAAATCTAAAGTAGAATGGTTCTCCTCTTTTGTAAAACCTGTTTTAAAAAAAGAAAGACTGTTTTAAAGGTCAAATGATTCACAGAGGTGACAACACAACGATGTCTTTAAGATTTTTTCCAAAACAGAGCACTAGTACTTGAGGACAACATACCAAGCACACACGGTCAGACATCACAGAGGCCAAGGAGTCCCAGGGGACACCAGCAGCTCAAAGCAGCAGCCAGTCAGGGGGTACGATGATGTCCAGCATGCCAAATTTGACCTTAGCACTTTACTCATTTAACTTTTCATTTTTTTTAAATTTTTTTTAACTTTTCATTTTGACATTAATTTAGACACAGAGAAAAGTTACAAAAACAACAGAATTCCCACATACGCTGTACTCAAGTTCTCCCCAGTTAACATGTTACAGAACCATGGCACAACCGTAGGTGCCAAGAGACAACCTGGGATACAAGGCTGTTTGCCAACCCAGGTGCCCTGCCTGAATCTCGTGTTTTCCAGGTAAGTTTTTCTTGGATCACAGGTTTTTTTCCTTTAATGTTCTAATTAATTACTAACATTTGTTTAAAAGTAAGAGATTTCCCATGACAGTCTAGATCCTCAGCTCCTTCTGAAAAACCAGACTGGCCACAGTGGGACTACCCCTACATGGGGATATCAACTCCCTGTGAGCAGTGGCCTCACCACTTGGAGAGGTACATGCTCCCCCCCACCACAGCACAATGACCAATTCCCAAACCCACACTTGTCATTTGTCGCTAAACTGACACTATGGTTCTTACTGTACAATTATGAAGAAACTGAAATTGTTCTAATACCTGTGTCTGTCAAAAGTAACAAAAATGCAATATTCTCCTTTGTGGAAGAGGAGAATAATGCTAACATTAAGATATGTAAATAAAAAAAAAGATATGTAAATAAAGTATGCTTTTGTTTAAAAGAGACATCCCTGATCTGTTCATTTGTGTCACTCGCCTGTCCTCTGCACATTTGGGACTGTGAACCCCCTGTGCAGGTCTCATGCTGGAGAAATGTGGATGTGGACACAAGACACACAGACACCTCTAGAAAGGCAGGTAACAGTTTCTGATAAAAGTACAAAAATACTCCAAGATGCCCATCCCGCATCAGTTCCAACTCTATTACCCACTTCCACACACAGACCTCCCAGTCTCGGGGGGACCTGCCATTTCGCAGGCTGGGGCTGGCACAGGCTCTGCCATGCCATCACGGGTCCCAGGCCCCCGTGGCTCCCGAGCCCACCGCCCTCTGCAAGTCTGACACCTTCAGGATCCTCCTGGCACGTCTCCCCGCTGCCCCCAGCTCAGCTCTGGAAGTGAGCTCTGCCTTCTGCATCCCGCAGAGACCTCAGTGAACAGCCAGTCTTTCACACCCCAAATCCACGTCTTTCTCCATCAGAATCCTGCTCCCCAACCGAGCTCCTCCCTTCTTCCTCCTCTTCTCTCCGCACTTGCACTCGTTCTCCAAGATACCAGAACTGCTTCAGTGTGTCTCAGTTTCACAGTGAGAACAACACTGAAAATCCTCTTTCAACCCCACTTTCTGTTCTGGAAAGTACAGTGGACTCTTGAACAAATCAGGGCTGGGGGTACCCATGCCCTCTCCCCACACTGTTGAAAACCTGGCTGTTGACTCCCCAAAACTTAATAAACTATAGCTGACAAAGGTCCTTACTGAGTACAGTCAGTGAATGCATATTCTGGATATCATGTGTGTGATGTACTGTATTTTTATGACAAAGTCAGCAAGAGAGAAGAAAATGTTAAGGAATGCAAAGGAAGCTATATCTTACATTTCTGTACCCTATAAATCGAAACCACATGTTTCATGTGGACCCATGTGATTCAAACCCTGTTGTGGGCAGCTCTGGTGGCTCAGTGGTTTAGCACCACCTTCAGTCCAGGGTGTGATCCTGGAGATCTGGGGTCGAGTCCCATATCAGGCTCCCTGCATGGAGCCTGCTTCTCCCTCTGCCGGTGTCTCAGCCTCTCTGTGTGTGTGTCTCTCAAGAATAAATAAATAAAACCTTTTTTTAAAAAAAAATAAACCTGTTGTTCAAGGGTCAGCTTTACTTACCTCATTTTCTCTTCATAGCCAAGTGAACGCAGCAGCATCTACAGCTAAGGCTGCCTATTACACCTTGACTTAGCCAGCGTCACTGAAACTACTGTCAACATTAACAACCCCAAAGCCTTGGTTCCCCAGACCAGTGGAAATGTTTGCATCTGACACTGGGGCCCACTTCCTCTTAGAGACTTCCTGTTCCAGGGGTGCCTGGGAGACTCAGTCTGTGAAGCGTCTGCCTTCAGCTCAGGCCATGATCTCAGGGTCCTGAGATGGAGCCCCAGGTGAGGCTCACTGCTCAGGGGAGACTCTGCTCCTCCCTCTGCCTCTGTACCTCCTACCCCCACTTGCTCGCTCTCTGCCTCCCCCAAATAAATAAATAAAATCTTAGAAAAGAAATGTTGGAGTCCCTTGGCCTCTGGATACCACTCTGGGATTCCTCTCTCCTTTCTAGCGGTTTCCTCTCAGAATGGCCAAAGGTCACAACCTTTCTTTCTGATCCCAGGGCTGGAGGGTGTCTCCACCCTCTCCAGCACCTGGCACAGCCTCTGCCTCAACCCCGCCCCCCTGCAGCAAGCTCCTTCAGAACAGAACCAAGTTTCAGCTCTGCACCAGCCCAGCCCTGCCAACAACCACCTGGCTCTGCACAAGATGTAGACACTGAACAACAGGAGGTGAGCACACCTGACGGAGCACCCCGTGATCACAGCACCCTATTTGCCTGGTGTTAAGAACACCAGTTTTCCCTTAATGACTATAGGGTCTGCTCCCGGATGGTTTCTATCAGGGTTTGAGGGCACACGATCCTATTCAGGTGCCAAGGACGGGAGGCGCAACCTTGGGGAAGGAAGCCCCCTGAGCTGGAGCAACCCCAAATCCACGGCAACCATCAGGGTACCTATTTTCTGAGACCCTGAGATTTAATCCTGAAACTCACTCGTCTTCAGGGGTTGACCATGCACACAACAGGTGTGAACTGGTGCCAGTGACAAGGACTAGCAGACACCTCTCTGACTAAGGAGGTGGGCCACGCTAGGGACCCCCCCTGCTGACCACCAGGCAACCTCGCCCCGTGCCAAGACGCCAACCTTCCTTCCTCCGCAGATCCTGCACCATCTCATCGGGTCCTTCCCACAAAGTCCAGGGGCAGACTGTCCCCAGCTCACCTCTGGCTGGCACGAGGGTGCACACGGGCAAGGGGACCCCGCAGCACCCCCCACCCCGGTCCCCGGGCCTCCGTGCAGACCCTCGCCCTCCGCCGCGCCCCGGGCGCACCCCACTGCGCGAGGGCAGGTCCACGCACACGCGCACCCGGGGGCCCTCACCCACCTGCAACCCAGGGGGGGCCCGCACCCACCTTAACTGTGCCGCGAGGGCCTGCATCCACCTGCCACCCCGAGGGCCCACTCCACGCGAGGGCAGGTCCGCGCACACGCACGCCCGGGGCCCCTCACCCACCTGCCGCCCGGGGCCCCTCGCCCGCGGCTCCAGCCGTGACTTCGGTGGCCGCCTGTCCCCCCCCACCCCCGCCCCGGCTGTCCGTTCCCGGGCTGCGTGTCGGCTGCGGGAGGAGGGCGCCGCCGCTTTTAGGGCCCCGCGGGCGGGCCAGCCCCCATCCCCGCCCGGGTCTGCGCAGCCGGTGCTTTCCGTGCAGGACGTGGGGGAACTCCGCAGCGCCAACCACAGCACTTCCCCTAACCCCGGCCTGGCAAGCTCCCCCTCGCCCCCGCCCCGGGGGATTTCCTTTCCGAGGGCGTCCTGGGCCGGGTCTCCCCCGCCTTCCCGACAGCGAGTACTCGGCTGGCCGCTGCCGGGGCAGGGCTCGGCTGGAAACGCGAGGTTCTCCTTTTCAGTGCATTTTTACCGTGTGAAAGAGATGACCTATGAGCTTCCTAGATTGAAACCTCCTTTCTTTTTTTCTTGGTTGGGTGGTTGCTTTTATCCTTGGGGTGGAGCCACTGTACAAGCAACTTCCTCCTTGGGGCCTCCTGCCCCCATTAGAGGTCTCCCGGGTGACCTGAAGGCTCGCACCTGCCACTGCGCCCTCAGCACTCCCTGAGGACCACCTGCCTGCTGGCCGGGGGCCTGGGCAGGCTCACCCCCAGGCCTTCCAGAAAGTCAAAGAAAACTGGGAACCCAAAGAAAACCCATAATAATAATAAAAAAAGAAAAGAAAAGAAAAGAAAACCCATAATATTCCTCAGGAATTCGTCATCCTGTGGACACAAAGCGGGCACCCATTCCATTCGGCACAGTCAGGATGAGTCCGGATACCTTCAGGATGAGGTGGATGTGCCTGCCCAGATGTGTCAGGGCTCCACCTGGAATTGCGCCAAAATGATTCAGTCATCTGTCACGTGGAGAAGTCAGTCTACTCTGAGCCTGCCCAGTTCAGAACTTTATAAGACATTTCAGCTACCCTCTGATGTGACTGAAAACCTTTGCATGGTCCTTACATACTTTGCTTCATGTGCCCACCAAAATAATTTGTAAAAACTATATTCCTCTGCACATTTTTAACTTCACATTAAAATATAAAAGTTGTTTTATATTTTTGCATTTGCAAAGCAATTGCAAAATCCAGACTAGGTATTTTAGAATAACACTGACCCAGCACTCTCTTCAACCAATGCAGTGGAATACAGACACCATAGCCATTTGATGTCCACCATCATCACAGTTGACACATCAGCTCATCTTTAATAATTGCAAATATTATATCATTGCCTTTGTCCTTGAACATTCTATTCCCCCTGATTTTTATTTATTTAATTTTAATTTTAATTTCAATACAGTTAACATAGAGCATTAATATTAGTTTCAGGTGCCCCCACAGAATTTTAATATGTTTACAAGAAATATCTTTATAATCACTCATATTTCTGAAACAAATATGTGCATAAACTAAATTTAATTTTTCCCCTGTGATCATAAGGCTCGTAAGTGTTAAAAATGTCTCTTTGATTGCATTATTTTTTTAAAAGATTTTGTTTATTCATGAGAGACCCACAGAGAGAGAGGCAGAGACACAGGCAGAGAGAGAAGCAGGCTCCATGTGGGGAGTCCGACGTGGGACTGGGTCCCGGGTCTTTAGGATCACACCCCGGGCTGACGGCGGCGCTAAACCCCTAAGCCCTAAGCCACCGGGGCTGCCCTTTGATTGCATTATTGACACTAGGTTTAGTACTGCTTAAGCCTTTGATCAAAACACTATAGATCAGTGCCACCTGGGTGGCTCAGTGGTTGAACTTCTGCCTTCGGGTTGAGCCTGCATAGGGCTCCCTGCATTGAGTGTGCTTCTTTCTCTGCCTGTGTCTCTGCCTCTCTCTATGTCTGTCATGAATAAATAAATAAAATATTTTAAAAATATATAGATCATACATGTTGATACTAAAGATAAAAAGTTAAATTCTACTACAACTGCAATCTTAATAGAGGTTTCAGCTTAATTTGAACGATCTATTCAAATGTGTGTTTGTCAGTATCATCATTACTAGAATATGATGGGTTCAACAGAGGTGCTGTTCCCTTTTTTTATTTCTAAAAGTAAATGTTGGAAACCTTCTCTACATAAACAAGTATAGATAGGACCAGAAAAATGTTATAATATCAATTTTTCACAATTTTTTGAGCTATTGTTTTATACCCCCCAAATCATTTAATGTTCTTTAATTGAAATTTAATTAGTTATCTGTACACAACTCAATTTTGTTGAAATCAGTGACTTGGAAAGCACACACCTTTTGTTCCCAGATCAGGTTGCCAGAGTTAGCAAATTAAATACAGAACATTTAGTTAAATTTAAATTTGAGATAAATAATTTTTTGGTATATTCAGTTCAATTTGAATGTAAATAATCAATGAATAATGTATTGCATGGAACAAACTTATACCAAAAAATTTAATTAGTTATCAGTACACCTGGTAGCTTGGTGATGTGAGTGCCTAACTCTTGACCTCAGCTCAGGTCTTGATCTCAGGATTATGAGTTCAAGCCCTGCATTGGGCTCCACACTGGGAATGAAGTCTGCTAAGAAAGAAAAAGAAGAAAAGAAAAAAAGAAAAGAAAAGAGAAAGAAGAAAAGAAAGAAAGAAAGAAAGAAAGAAAGAAAGAAAGAAAGAAAGAAAGAAAGAAAGAAAGAAAGACCTCTGGGTGGCTCAGTGGTTGAGTGTCTGTGTTTGGCTCAGGTCATGATCCTGGGGTCCTGGGATTGAGTCCTGCATCAGGCTCCCTGTGTGGAGCCTGCTTCTCCCTCTGCCTATGTCTCTGCCTCTCTCTCTGTATCTCTCATGAATAAATAAATAAAATCTTAAAAAAATAAATAAATAAATAAAGACTGGGGCCTGAGAAGTCCTGAGAGGAGGAGGATTTGCACATGCCTCAGACTCAGAGTTGAGACCAGACCTGCCAGGGCCCTGAGTAGATCACTATATCTCCTTGCAACATTTCACACAACTTTAACTGTTGATTTTTTTAAAAGATATATTTATTCATTTTTTATTCATTTTAGAGAGTAAGAGTGTGTGAACAGGGGGGAGGGCAGAGGGAGAGAGAGTCCCAAGAAGACACCCTGCTGAGCATGGAGCCTGCTGTGGGACTCGATCTCACCACCCCAAGATCATAACTTGAACCAAAACCAAGAGCCAATGGCCCAACTGACCGAGCTACCCAGGCACTCCTACTTGATTTTTTTTTTTAAAGAATTGTTTTGCTATAGCAATTCTAAGTTGCATGTGAGCCAGGACTGCGTGTACTTTGTTCACATTATTCCAGCACCAGCAGGATAGTTGTAAAGAGTGGAGGCTCAGTAAATCTCTGTTAACTGACAAAAATGAGTCAGCCTATCTGCCGGTGTCTCTAAACATGCACTCAATTTTTTAATATTGTAACTGAACTTTTATTTTCCCTCTCACCCTGTGAGTATCCCAAATATTTTATATAAAAACTCCATTTGTCCTTCTAGCACTCACATATTGCCTAAGTATATTTTTCCTCCAATACCCTTTTGGACAAAGAGGGTATCAAGGAAATGCTTGAGGACAGTGATGAGACAGACGCATGGGGCCATTTCTACCTGTTCTACCAGCTTTCTTCCACTGTCCACGTGTAAATAAGATATGAGAAACATGCTCCCTCCATTCCTGATTTTGAGATTTGATAATTCTAACCACTAGTGTATTCTCAATATCCTATTATTTAATAATCAATTTAAAAAAAATTTCCCTTGAGGGTAAAATACTCTCAATTCCCTTGATGGTAAAATACTTTCAATATGATGAACAAATACTCTTTCTTTGGAAGGAATTTCACAGGGTGGAAATGCTATGACACCTTCAGGCCCAGCCCAGTGCTATTTCTCCATAAGTTCTTACATTTTTAGCTAAAGAGATACAAAGAAATTCTGCCCAGGAATCTAGAACTGAAAGCAAAAGTGAAATGTAACAAAGAGGACATACTGTTCTAATTCCAAAGTAAATCTGAAAGTCATTGTGAATGCCGGGGATTTCCTGGCCAGTTGGCAACTTCACAACCTAACTCAAGG